GTTCTGCATAACAAGCGGCTTTCTGTGTAGTAGTATGTTTTTTTTTTTTCGCCGGTATTCTCCTGGCCCGGGTCTTTTCCAAGTAGTGGCGACCCGGCCTTGGCTCCCTATCTGGGGAGTGTCTCGAGACTTAAGTCTCCCATGGGACGAGGTATAATACCTCCTCATCTTTGGGACCAAGTGTCCCCAGGCCTAGCCACATTCCCCGCCCTCACGGGGCTCGTAGAGAGAAGCTAGGCCTCTGGTCTACCATCTACCCCGCCTCAAAGGGGCTCGTGGGGATGGCAGTCTTATGAGCTGCAGATGGTAGCAAGCTCAGGCCTCTCTTGACCTTCATAGTAGTAGTATGTAATTGATGTCAGCTATGGTCTGTGTACCTTGTTCATGTACTTGTAAAAATAGATATTATATTATTAAAAAGTTGATTAGCTCTTAAGTTAATCTTAAGTTAATTTTAAGCCTGCCCATAATGCTCTGCATACAAGGGGCTTTGGCATGGTGCACTTTAAAAATTGTATTCCTTGTACTTCTCTGTATCATGTTCAAATTAATAAATAAAAAAAAATAAAAGGGGGGGGGAATATGCTTTAAAGAAAATGGTAAATATAAGAAGGAAAATGGTGGCGAGTGCATGACCCGGGGGGGGGGGACATTTGTAAATTGAGGAATATAGGAAGTAACTGCATCTCTGCTGGCTGTTGCCACGAAACCTCGTACAAATTTTGTAACTTTTGCAATTGTTTTATATAGCAGATTGTGAAGAATTGAAACTAGGTCACTATGACTTAATTTTATATTTAGGAAAATATATAAATGATTTTGTAAACTAGTATAAAAATAACCTCGTCGCTCTTGTGTGGTCTCCGTTCAGGCTGACGGATTTTATTACCAGACTTGAAAATCCACCCAATGTTACGGAGTATAAAAAAAATCCATCCTAAGTGACGGAGTTTGATAGGAAAACTTGTATAATAATTATTAATAATATCTTTATTTACAAGTACATGTACAAGGTATACACACCATAGCTGACATCAATGATATACTACTATATAGAAAGCCGCTTGTTATGCTGAGCATTTCGGGCAAATTAGGTCAGTTTTGTCCCAGGATGCGACCCACACCAGTCGATTAACACCCAGGTACCCATTTTAAACTGATGGGTGAACAGGGACAGAAGGTTTCTTGTGGAAACACGTCCCTAATGTTTTCTAGCCGTACCGGAGGAGATTCAAACCCCGGACCTGTGTGTGAGCTGAGTGCGCTAGGGATTGAGCTACGGGACACCTAAATAATAGGTTATTACAAAGACCCCAATGGAAATACGTCACTTTGTCAAACTTTTATGGGCTACCTTAAGTAATCTACACATGCTGTTATGTATGATAATTTATGTAACAGTATTTAGGTGTACTTGTACCTGAATAAACTTGCTAACCATCACGGTGTCTCGTGGTTCGACTGACAACGCCCCTGGTTCAGTCCCCGTCATGAGTGGAAACATTGGGTATATTTCCTTACACCTGCTGTCCCTGTTCACCTAGCAGTAAGTAGGTACCTGGGTGTTAGTCGACTGGTGTGAGTCGCATCCTGGGGAACAACATTGAAGGACTCCAATGGAAATCCTCGACGACGCACTGACTTTCTAGGGTTATCCTGGGTGGCTAACCCGCCGGAAGAATCATGCATGATTTACTCACCTAATTGTGGTTGCAGGGGTCGATATTCAGCTCCTGGCCCCGCCTCTTCACTGAGCACTACTAGGTCCTTTCTCTCCCTGTTGCATGAGCTTTATCATACCTCATCTTAAAGCTATGTATGGTTCCTGCCTCCACTACCTCACTTGCTAGACTATTCCACTTCCTAACTATGACTTAAGAAATACTTATGAAGTATGTTAGCGAAACACTTCTTACTGTTCTTAAAATTTTAGCATAAAATAAGGTAAACACAATATGATGCTTTTGATTTCCTTAATTTTTAAAAAAAACAGGAGATAATCTTTTGTGTATTTTCTAATATAAAATGACACAAATCCGTTAAAAAAAGTGTGCTAGCTTGAGTCACTCCTGTGAGTTTATATAGTAATTAAGTAGGAAGAAACTGAACGAGCAAGTACAGAGTAAACTAGGAAAACTATATTTAGGCTTCATTAGTAGTGGTGTGGCCGGATGGTGGTGTGGCCAGGGGGAGGTAGTGGTGGTGTGGCCAGGGGGAGGTAGTGGTGGTGTGGCCAGGGGGAGGTAGTGGTGGTGTGGCCAGGGGGAGGTAGTGGTGGTGTGGCCAGGGGGAGGTAGTGTGGTGTGGGACTAGGGGAGGTAGTGGTGGTGTGGCCAGTGGGAGGTAGTGGTGGTGTGGCCAGGGGAGGTAGTGGTGGTGTGGCCAGGGGAGGTAGTGGTGGTGTGGCCAGGGGAGGTTGTGGTGGTGTGCAGGGGGAGGGATGGTGGTGTGGCCAGGGGGGTATGTGGTGGTGTGGCAGGGGGGTAGGTGCTGTGGTGTGGCCAGGGGAGGTTGTGGTGGGTGGTGGCCAGGGGGAGTAGTGTGGTGTGGCCAGGGGAGGTAGTGGGGGTGTGGCCAGGGGAGGTAGTGGGTGGTGTGGCCAGGGGGAGGTGTGGTGGTGTGGCCAGGGGAGGTTGGTTGTAGTGGCCAGGGGGGTAGTGGTGGTGTGGATAGGGAGGTAGTGGTGGTGTGGCAGGGGAGGTAGTGGTGGTGTGGCCAGGGAGTAGTGTGGTTGTAAGGCCAGGGGGAGGTTGTGGTGGTGTGGCCAGGGGGAGTAGTGGTGGTGTGGCTAGGGGAGGTAGTGCGTGGTGTGGCCAGGGGGAGTATGGTGGTGTGCCAGGGGAAAATATGGTGGTGTGGCCAGGGGATTAGTGGTGGTGTGGCCAGGGGAGGTATGGTGGTGTGGCCAGGGGAGGTAGTGGTGGTTGGCCAGGGGGTAGTGGTGGTGTGGCCAGGGGGAGGTGTGGTGGTGTGGCCAGGGGGAAGAGTGTGGTGTGGCAGGGGAGGTAGTGGTGTGTGGCAGGGGAGGTGGGTGGCAGTGGCCGTGGAGGTAAGTGGAATGTGTGTGCAAGGGAGGCTAGTGTGGTGTGCGTAGGGGAGTATGGTGTTGTGGTCCAGGAGTGTTAATTGTGGTGTCCAGAGGAGAGGGAATGTGTGGGGAGGGGTTAATATGTGGTGTGATCAAGGGGGGTAGGGCATTTGTGGTGTGCAAGGTCATGATAGCGAGCTGGTGGTAGTGGGAAGACGTTGCCAGGGGAAGTGTAGTGGGGGGGTGGCCAAGGGAAGACCAGTGGGGGGGGATGGACAGGGGGTAGGTTTGTACAGTAATATGTAATTAGAGCTTTAACATCAGCTTCATCATTGTGGCTGTTGGCTGGGAAGGCGGTCTATCTTCTAAAGAAAACGAGGTTTTAGACGGATTTATGAATGTTGAAAAAGCCACATTCAGCAGTGGATGCATCCTTGGTTTTTCAATGTAAGTCTCGTTGTAAAGCAACTTCAGTTTTACTCGCCCAATGTTCATCAGAAAAATTACTCCCTGGTCAGATTTTTTTTTTTGCAGTTTTTTACCACTTTCTCGTATAATTGATTAATTTTGGGTTAATTTTAGTTGTTAAATCCCAGATAGTTGACTGGGAAAGAAAACGGATGAAGGGAGGGGGCAGATGGCTGATAAGGAAATATAGTAGTCGAATATGCAGTATTTAGAACATTTATTAGAACTTTTGCACACTAGAAGCGAAACATCTAATGTCCTAAAAAAAATCAGCTGCATTTTATAGTGTATAATGTAATTTGGTATGTCTATCAAACTTCTGTATATAGAATCCCACTTGACCTCCCAACATGTAGGGTCTTCAAATACGGTTTGCAGCATATTTCTAAGTTAGGTTGTCTTCTATTTCTAAAAATAAATTTTAACATACTACATCTGAAACAATATGAATATAACAGTAAACAGACAGTCATTGTGCACGGTGTGAGCATGTGTCATAATTAAACTGCTGAGGGTGCCTTCAACTGTCTTCCATTTGTCTGTTCTTAAGAGGATGCCTGTAATATCCGTATATATATATATATATATCTAAGGGGCTCTGTTGGTAGCGCACTCAGCTTTCATACTGAGGGTACGTGGTTAGATTTCTGGTACAGGTGTAAACGCTGGGAATTTCTTTACACTTACTGTACTGTTCATCTACCAGTAAATAGGTACCTGGGTGTTAGTAGACTGTTGTGGGTGGCATCCCAGGGAACGATATACCTTAAAGCTCGGCTTTGATATGAGCTGAGGATAACAGCTTTTAGCCTGTAAAATTTATATAAAAAAAGAAAGTGAACTACCCATATTCCCCAAATACATTTTTTTTACATTGTACATTGTTATTTAGAGAGAGAGTAGCCAAAATACCTCCATGCATGTTACAATACACCAGGCGCATATGTGGTAAACTCGTAGGGGTCATACATCGTTTGGGGGTAATGAAATACATTCAGGCTCGATTCATGGAACTGAAATACAGGTCTGGACTATATTGCCATCAATTTTGAATCCATATTCACAAAAAGAAATATACTGAAGTTTTACCCTATTTCTCGGACAGTAAAAACAAAACAGGAATGATTAGTCATGGTTTAGTTTTTTAGGTATGTACATAAGTACAATTATCATACAGTGCGTTAGCAATAATTATATATTATTGTTGCTAACGCACTTGGCTCACACACTGAGGTCAGAGGTTCAATCCCCTGTACGGGTGGAAACATTAGGACATGTTTCCTTAAGACACCTACTGTCCCTGTTCACCTAGCAGTAAAATAGGTACCTGGGTGTTAGTCGAGTGGTGTGGGTTGCATCGTGAGGACAAAAATTGACATAATTTTGCAGGAAATGCTCAGCATAACAAGGGACTTTCTCAGTAGTATTATGTCAGTTAGGTTTGTGCGCATTGTACATGTAGAAATAGGATGATTATTATTTAGGTTGTTTTATGATGTTGCAGGTGGATCATGCCACTGATGAGACTTGGTTACCAGCGTTCCTTGGATGTCCATGATCTGTACAGTGTCCAGGAGCAGGATTCTTCCAAGGAACTAGGTGATAATATTCAAAAGTAAGTAGACCTTTAACTTGTCTTAATAATTTAAGTAGACAGCCATTATTGTCAGTGTTCAGCTCCTCAAAACTTAAAGGCTAACCGAGCAGCTAACAAAGTCTGGGCTTGGAGCCAGGCTGCAAGGGTAGAACCTCTGAAAATGATCACAGATGTCATGGGTATCTCAAGTGTTTGCCATCACTTGTAGCTGCAGTTATATCTACACTGTTAAGTGTCCCATTAATATAGTACAATTAGGGTTAACACACACCTTAGTGCCTGGAATCACACACTTTCAGTGGTGTACCTGTCATTAAAGAAAACTGGCAGAGATGGTCAGAAAAGTGTCAAAAAGTGAAAATTGTAGATAGGTGAATGGGTCTGAAATGTGTATTAATCCATTTAATAGTACTGTACAAACAAATTCCCCCATAGTGGGGTTTATACCTAAATGTAAACAGTCTGAATGGCTCTCTCCATGATCTTACCTCAGACACCTGATGCTGATGAAAAAATTCTCTCAACCTTCCATTTAGAACCTGTTTATGCACGTGTGAATATGCCTTATTTATTTATTTATTTATTTATTTATTTATTATACATTTGAGCACACATACAGAGGTACAAAAAAATACAGATAAGAGCAGCATGCCAAAGCCACTTATACTATGCATAGCATTACGGGCCGGCTTAAAATTAACTTAAGATTAACTAAGCAATGATGAAGTCAGTGATAAAACATTAATGTAAACAGATTACTATAAAGCACAAGTGAGTATTACAAAGACAGGTCATATGGTTGCATTCAGTCATATGAAGGATTCTGTTAGGTAGTGTATTTAAAAAATAATAAAGTTAGATTCGGTTTTAGGTTTAACATTTATGTGATATAATTGTGAGAAACATTTAAGATATACAATTTATAAGGTTCAGTTATTCAGTATTTATTTGGTTTTGGGTGAGTAAGTGATCTTTGAGTAGAGACTTGAATTTATAAACAGGTAGTGTTTCTTTTATATTTACAGGTAATGAATTCCAGATTTTAGGGCCTTTTATGTGCATTGAGTTTTTGCATAGTGTGAGATGAACACGAGGAACATCAAAGAGTGATCTGTGCCTTAATACTGTACTGCAGTTTGTTTCATGATATTGGCATTTTGATAACCACTTTTACAAAATATTCATAATATTGTTCATTTTTATCACATTTAATTAATTAACCCTTTATGGAACAGGTCAATAAATTTATTGGCCTGCCTAGTAAAGGGTTAATCTTGTGATTTTGTTAATTCAGGAGCTTGACAGTTTTCACTTTTTTCTTGTAGATTCTATTGTGCAATTGTTACATTGTTCTAGTGTGAGGTGATGTATGCATGTGTTGTTAAATACTTTGTTTCACAGAAAGTGGGATGAAGAACTAGAGAGGAGCAAAAAGAAAGGGAAGAAAGCAAGCTACGTCAGAGCACTCGTTCGGTGCTTTGGATGGGAGTATGCACGTGTTGGTTTGTATGCAGCTTTCGAAGAATGTGTCCTAAGGTACTGTTTCTCTCCTTAAGTCATAATTTATAGAGTAAATTTCTTATACACGAAGTTGAACTTTTTTTGTAATTTAGCTCCTGCCAGCCTTCAGTGGATGAGTAAATGGTAAGTACAATACTACTTACAGGTTACTCCATGCTGCTTTTGTTGACCATGCATGTTAGTGGGCTATAATATTGTGATGCAATATATCTTGTGTTGATTTAGCATCCATTATTGTATTTTGACTGTTTTTTTTATTAGTTTGCTCTATTACAAACTAATTTTTTGTCAGTAAGTTTCATATTCTGTTTTCAAAAGAGTAGCACTAAAATTTGAGAATTTGTAAACTATGAAAAAAAAATTAGAAATGCAGGGTGTCCGCTAAGTCCATTTTCAGATTTCAAGAACTTATCACAACAGTATGGTAAAATATAGGAAAAGGCAGCTTTCTGCATATAATTATCACAATATGAAGTTCCCTGGCAGATGGACTGGGAGTAACGACTCCTATCATATGGTCCGCACTCTTGTCTCAGATTACACCTTTAGACTTCTTGTCAGGTTTATGCAGAATTGTTTTCACTAATGCCAGTGGCTGACATAAAAAAAAAACACTGCACTAGAATAAATAATTTCATCAGAAAAGCCACACCATACTTGTTGGCCAATGTGTGGAAAGAACCAGTGTATCGATTAGCTGTATTATGTCTGTTATGGGTGCTTATGTTGAGGCTGCATAGATTAGACAATGGTGAAGCTGTATAAAAATGTAGAAAGCAGTATTTTCATACAATTTTTTTATTAACACAGTTTCCCACTGAGGCAGGGTGGCCCCCCAAAAAAGTGAAGAAACACTTTAATCATCACTCACTCCATCTGTTAAAAAAAACAATTGAAATTGGCAAAGAACTTTGTGGACACTCAGGTTGGATTTTAATCTATGAGTGATACCTATATCACATTGCTACCAAGTGATTTACAAGATTACTGTTGGCAGAATGTGTAATGTAGTGGTCTTGCAACCCAGTAGTACTGTACAAAGTTCAATTTGTACTGAGGAAGCATTATTAGTTTCTAATTTTATTTAATCTAATTTCTGGTGTATAACCATATAATCTCTAAATTGGTCCAAAAAGCCTTCAGTTGATTCATGAATATTCAGGTAAATAAGGAAAGTATATTGTTTTCTTGTTCACACTTCTTATGTAGTAACATCAGAACCCTAAGTTGGCTGACTCGTTCATGCTGAACTTTGCACTACAGTACTTTTTTGTTTTATCTGGGAATCTAGTTCCTAAGACTTAAATGTTGTTACTAAAAATGTTTCATTATGCTAGTGTAATTTGACACTGCCTTGTATAGCTTTTGTTATGCTGTTATTTAGTAATTTTAAGTTTTGTACCTAAATTTAAGTAATTTTTTGTTATGAATCTGTTTACTATGCAAGCTTAATCAGCAGTAAACTGTGATAGTTTTACATTATACCTGTTTTGTTCCTCGACCAGATTTCTGCTTGTTCGGTGCTCAGCCTGGTATCCTATGTATGTTTATTGTTGTAATTCAAGTTACAGTACTTATGATACTGCTTGCATTGTAATTATTCCTGTGTTCCTGTTAGATATGTCCTGCTCATTATTATGGTGGCAATATGGATGTAAAGTTTTTAAATTGAAGGTTAAAAAAAAATCTAAGGTTCAGGTTTTAAAATATAAATTGATAAGTAGACTAATTACACATACAAAACATGAACTAATCTTGTTTAAAGCTGCATTTGAATTCTGGCTTTGTTTCAACTTGTTTAATGTAAAGTATTTTCTTTGAGTTTGTTGCATTATGCAGAACTCTGGTCATTAAGGCACAGATTTTTGACACTGTAAATACTTGTTAATGAAATGGCCTAATTGCTGCCATGTTCCTGAAACTGGCTTTGTTGACTTGGAGTTTGTTGCATTAAAAATAAGCAAAATCTGCTAGCTTATTTTTGTGTTACTAGTAGAGTATACATGGCTTCTTGACTGTGTAGATGTTTGTAATGTTTTTAGCAGTCTTAATCAGCACAGTAGTCCTGATACCTTCCTCCATTCTAATTGTTCTTTATCTTGATCTCTCTATTCAAACAATTCAATTATCTTGTACTTCTATCCCCCTTTGTTTTTTCCCTCTCTCCCTTCTCTTTGCTTTCCTCCCCTTGCTTCATCCCTCTTGCTTTTCCTATTCACCCCCTTTCCCCTCTTTTCTCTATCTTGCCCACCTCTCCCATTTGAGTGCTCTTCCTCTGTTGTTTCTTCCAATAACTTCTCTTGTTTTCATATTTACCTACTTCCCATTTTCTCCCTTTATGTAAGAGTGGCACTGTTACAGGGTAGCTCAGCCCCTCTTGCTTGGCGGTTTGATCCGCTATTATGACAACCGCTCTGTCATGAGTCTCACCTCTGGGGTGGTGTGTGCTGCAGGCATTGTTCTCATTGCTGTGCTACACATATTTGTCTACCACCCATTCAACTTCAAATGTCGCCGCATCAGCCTGCATGCCAAGACAGCTTCTTGTACCTTGATCTTCAGAAAGGTAGGTCTTTCTCTGCATCAACTAAATCTGATGTGAAACATAACAGCTACATCTATAGAAGCACATAGACATAAATTAAAGCTTGTTATAAAATTGAAATATGTTTGGAATTCTAATACTTGTGCATTTATCTTTGGTTACTCCATGAAGAGGGATGCCTTGATGGTAGTAAAGGGCTCTTGATCTCAGGAATTGGGAGCTATCCTTCCCCTCTATGGATCACTGCTGATTACACCTTTTACCCAGGTGCTGCATGACCCTTATGGGGTTAATGCTTTCCCATATAATATTACAAAGAGTAGTACTGTAGTAATCTTTTTTTTTTTTTCACAATCCATGCATGTTAATATTAGTTTAGAGGCTTGTAGTGCTTGTCTAGAGCTCTGCTGTCATGCACCGTGATGCGTTAGAGGTGAGAATTTCTACAGTATAGTTAAGGTGGGTTTCAGGTGCATGCTGCTGCTTCTCAACACATCGCTTTCATATCTTAAAAGATTTTCAAATTGAAGAATTATACTAGACACAAAATTGTTTTCCTTGTTATATATGTTGTTAATATTTCTATTATGTATATGTTGTATTCAGAATGACTTTAAAATTGGTTATACGTTGAAAATAAATGGTATAAAATACCGACACAATGGAAACATAAACACATATGCAGTTTAATGTGATCCTTTATTGACAACGTTTTGCCCACACAGTGGGCTTTTTCAAGTCACAAACAGATCTACCTGGGGTGGAAGGAATGGGAGTATTTATAGTCAGGTTCAGAATGTTGAGGTCAGGTGGAGAATGCTGCATCTGATGATCTACCGGGTGGGGTTATAGAGTCTTGTCCAATACCCCTGCCAAGCTACCCAAGACTCTATAACCCCACCCGGTAGATCATCAGATGCAGCATTCTCCACCTGACCTCAACATTCTGAACCTGACTATAAATACTCCCGTTCCTTCCACCCCAGGTAGATCTGTTTGTGACTTGAAAAAGCCCACTGTGTGGGCGAAACGTTGTCAATAAAGGATCGCATTAAACTGCATGCGTGTTTGTTTCCATTGGTTATACGTCTTTAACACTGATGTGGAAAATTAGTTTTAGATTGTTTGGTGACTGTTTACCTTCATAGTTTTATTTAATCATATATTAAACTTGGAAAAAAGAGAAATACGCATTTTGACTTTTAATCTATTTTTTTTTTTTCAGTATCATTTTACACAAAATAAATTTTTCTGTTATTGTATTTGAGAATAGAGATCCTAGTTATGTTTCTGAGGTTTGCATTCTGGAACTTAAAATTCCCAGTGCTGTTTACATGTCTTTAAATAACAGAAAAGGCACAATACCGTGACTGGAACGATACACAAATAACCCGCACATAAGAGAGAAACTTACGACGACGTTTCGGTCAGACTTGGACCATTTACAAAGTCCAAGTCGGACCGAAATGTCGTCGTAAGCTTCTCTCTTTTATGTGCGGGTTATTTGTGTACATATCTTTCTTTTTTATAGTTCACTGTGATTTGACTTAACAAGGAACAAGTTTTGCTAGACTTGCTAATGCTTTATTTTATCTTGAAAGCCTTAGAAGATGACTGGCAAAAAATATACTGAGGATGAGAGGGCATACTGGTCAGTACTATGGAATTTTGTTTCGTGAACTCCACATTCTTGCAGAAAAAATATACTACATGTTTCAACTAAATTTATATCCTTCTGGTTCCTTGTATTTCAGGCCATCACTGATAGCAAGTTATTTTGAGAAAATTAAATAAAGGTATTGGAGTTTTGCTGACATTTGCCCCAGCTTAGTGTCTGATCATATCAGAAGTTTTGAAAGTACTGTATACTACAACCCTGACCTTAGTCTTTGATCATATCGGTAGTTTTGAAAGTACTGTATATACTACAAATAGTATACAACAACCCTGGTGTTAGTGTCTGATAATGTCTAGTTTTGAAAGTATACATTTTGTTCCTATCTGTCGATCACTAACAGAGTATACAATATCTGTGAAGACAGTTACCATGTTTATTATAGTAATTGAGAATAAGTGTACCTGACCTTGTTTCCCAGGAAGTGAATAGATTTACCTGGAAGGCATTTCGGGGATCATTTTCATAATTTAAAATGCATTGAATTTCTTTTATTTGTGTGTACGTGTGTGCACACCTATATATGGTTACAGGGGTTGAGTCATAGCTCCTGGCCCTGCCTCTGCTGTTCACTACTGGGTGAATGTGCATGTGAATTTGAAAGATGAATAAAATCAAATTAGAATTATCTTTTCTGAATTAGATTTTCTGCATAAAATGCTGTAAGATGAGCTCTTGAACCCGTGTTTGTATTGCAATTACTACTATTGTTGGATATAAACAGTCTGGAAATTTAAAATAATGTAGGTTTTCCAAACTTTATGCAAATTTGCTATTACAGTGGACCCTCGACCAACGATATTAATCCGTTCCTGAGAGCTCATCGTTAATCGAAATTATCGTTAGTAGAGTTAATTTCCCCATAAGAAATAATGGAAATCAAATTAATCCGTGCAAGACACTCAAAAGTATTGAAAAAAAAAAATTTACCATGTGAAATATTAATTTTAATACATACAAACTGAAGAAGACATGTACAATTACATGACACTTACCTTTATTGAAGATCTGGTGATGATTGATGGGATGGGAGGAGGGGAGTGTGTGGATGGTGTTGGTGTTTAGAAGGGGAATCCCCTTCCATTAGGACTTGAGGTGTCAAGTCCTTTTCCGGGGTTACTTCCCTTCTTCTTTTAATGCCACTAGGACCAGCTTGAGTCACTGGACCTCTGTGCACAACATATCTGTCCATAGAGGCCTGTACCTCCTGTTCCTTTATGACATTCCAAAAGTGTTTCACAACATTGTCAGTGTCACAATTAAACACTTGTTCAGGTTTCAATTCTTCACTGTCTATGTACAGTGGACCCCCGGTTAACGATATTTTTTCACTCCAGAAGTATGTTCAGGTGCCAGTACTGACCGAATTTGTTCCCATAAGGAATATTGTGAAGTAGATTAGTCCATTTCAGACCCCCCAAATACACGTACAAACGCACTTACATAAATACACTTACATAATTGGTCACATTCGGAGGTGATCGTTATGCGGGGGTCCACTGTACTCCTTGAATTCCTGCACATATTTTTCAGCTGCTTTTTGGTCCGAACTGGCAGCCTCACCATGCCTCATCACACTGTGTATGCCACTACGATTCTTAAATCTCTCAAACCAACCTTTGCTGGCCTTAAATTCACTCGCATCACCACTAGTTGCAGGCATTTTTCTAATTAAATCGTCATACAACTTCCTAGCCTTTTCACATATGATCGTTTGAAAGATGCTATCTCCTGCTATCTGTTTTTTGTTTATCCACACCTATAACAGTTTCTCAACATCTTCTATCACTTGCGATCTCAGTTTCGAAAACATAGTTGCACCTTTGGCAAGATGAAGATTGAGGCACTTATGCAGCATATGGAAATCTTTATTCAGGAAACGTTTCGCCACACAGTGGCTTCATCAGTCCAATACAAAGAGGAAGGCGTAAGGTGAGGAGGAGAATGAGGTAATCAGTCCCTCAGCCTGGAGTCGATGTGTTCAGTCCATCAATCTACAAGATTCTACAAGATTGATGGACTGAACACATGACTCCAAGGCTGAAGGGAACTGATTACTCTTTCTCCTCACCTTACGCCTTCCTCTTTGTATTGGACTGATTGAAGCCACTTGTGGCAAACGTTTCCTGAAAAAAGATTTCATATCTGCATAAGTGTCTCAATCTTCAACTTGTCGGTTTTTCAAACCATTCATCCCCTTTTGGGAGAACAGCTTCCTGATTGCCGTTTTCTGGCCCAAAAGTAGCAATGGTTGATTGGGGTTTTGTGTACAACTGGCCAGCTCGGAGACACGCACTCCACTTTATACTTAGCAATGAATCTCTTTCTTCATATCCTAGTAATTCTACCCTTTTTGCTGTAGGTTGGCACTAGAAGCTTTCTTGGTCCATGGTGACTATTTTGCAGGTGCAAAAAAAAACACTAAATCACTGTGATAATATGAAATGTTCGATTGTAGTTGGAGGGGCCCGCGGGGGCTGGCGGGAGTAACACGGGCCCAAAAGTGGACAGTCTGAATGGAAGAATGTGTTGGTCGGTTTTTTAGCGTGTGAGGAAAAATTTTTGCTTTTTAAATGTATTGCTAGTCGGTTTTAACATTGACGATGACATCTTTGGTCGACGGCCCAGTATAGTTGATTTTCCATTTTGTTGAAAATTTATGATGTGTAATTTCACTAGGATATGCGTTTGCTGAAGGTATTAAAGTTATTAGCAAATAAAGGGGGCCTGATTGACTTAATGCAGTACAATGAGCCTAAAATGCTAGACCCAAAAAGAAAGGGGGGCCCCTCTCTATTAACCTGATGCGTACAGGTGCTCTCAACTTATGGTTTGACTTACGAATTTCAAAATTTACTATGGGCAAAAACATTTCTTTGGAGACGAAACTTAAGATAAATTTTCCCGCATGAAAACGAATCCGTAACTTTTTTCCAATGTGTGGCGTTCCCCGTCGTGGCATGGTGGCCCAAAAAGAAAAAGCACCTCATTTATGCAAACACTGTCTCTGCGAGGCCACAGATAAGACAGTTAGTTCACTCCAAATAGCAAATATCCCAAACCCTCTTTTAAAGTGTAGGTTGTAGACCACCTCCAGGATTAGATCCGGGTAATGGTGTCCTAAATCCCTCACAAAAAATTACCTTGCTTCACTCCGTAACTTGTTCATTTATTTACTTTTCAATTGGTATATATAATTACTGTAATTATTTACTTATTTAGCATATATTCTATTCGACTTAGTCTTTTGTCGGAACGTAACCCCCCTTGTAAATTAAGGGGCCATTGCACTTTAAATGTTTGGGTTGGGAGGGTCCCTACTGCAGCCCAGTTCTCAAAAGGTGCCAAACCCATTGGGCAAAATGTTTTTGGTCTATTTTCCCTCCCTTCTTCCCCCCTTCTTTTGGGTTAATAAAAAATCAAATTTCTGGGCTTATGTGCAATTTTTTCTTAAATAAATTTTTTGTCCTTTTATTTTTTGCAGGAAGCAAAGGTTTAAGCTTTAAATTATTCTAAGACAGGATGTTTTGGTCTTATATAGTTATTGCTCAAGGTATTGGTTATAAGGAAAAAATTTTTTTCTATTTATTTGCATATTCTAAAGGGAATGGTGGTGGTCTTTCAAATTTTAATCTTTGCAAGCAAAGTTTTTCCTCTAGAAAGGTGCCTTGCTTTACAGGATTGGTCAGCCCTCTGCCTGGGTGGACTGATCGTTATTTCAATAGGGGGGGAAGGGTACACGAATGGACGGTTTGGGTTTTTCGGGGGCGTGGTGATGGATCGGTCTTTTTTATTTGCAAACCATCCCCTTTTCTGGGGCATACAGCATGTGGCATGCAGATCGGGTAGCAAGCTGTGCCGAAACAGAAAGGTAGGTGAAGGGGTGCATCTCTTGCATCTTGCCTGCTTTTTTTTTTTTTTTTTTTAGTTTGCTGCTTAGTACTGGGTGAAAGAAGATAAATTAGTTTTGTTTTTCACAGTTGAAAAACCTGTTAAGATTCTTCTTTTCCATAGCACTATAGTATTTACTAGCAAAGCAATTCTAATTTTCAGTGCCATTGCATTCACTTAAAAACAGCTTTTCTTTTTATCGTCTTTAACCCATAAACAGTCCAAACAGATCGACGTTCAAATTCGTAATGCTACAAAAGTAGATCTACTTTTTTTACATATTTTCAAATATAACAAAAAAAATGTAGATAAAAGTTTTTTTACACGTTTTCAAATGTAAAACAAAAGAGATCTACATTTTTTTATGTTCTTTCAGATGTTGAAAAAAACGTACATGTATATATACGTTTGGACCATTTAAGGGTTAACAGTCACTAACAGCACAATTCTACTTCTTCTAACACTAAGGCATTCACTACCAAGATAGCTCTACTTTTCATTTTATTATACTATTCACTTAGTCTTCTGTAGTTCTGCTTTCTATAACATTAAGGCATTTGCTAAAACAGCAGTTTTAATTATCACTGCATGTAAACACTCATCCTTATGTTAATATAAAGTAAGAAATATAATCATGTATTATTAAAGTAGACTTTAAAAAGTTATGACTGTATATTTTGTTTGTTGACTGTCTTGCTATTCTTTGTGGCCAGAGATTCCAAGAGATTCTTCCACATCACAAGTTTCTCCTTGATTTTTTTTTATTTAGCTTGTTCCCTCAAGTCCTTTGCTTCAACAATACATTCATGTAACTTACATTATTTACAACCTTTTCCTAAATAGATCATTGAGTTTCACACTAGTTACAGTGTGCTAATGTTTGCTTGCTTTAAACATTGGTGAGATAACAAATGGGAGGACTACATCAGGCAGTGCAAGACACATGGTCACTGCTTCAAGTTGTTAGCTTCATGTGCTCTGTTTAAATTGGAGGACAGTATAGCATGTGACATTAATAGGTGTGACTCTCGAAGGTGTTTCATCTTGTATTAAACTATTCTTTAGTCTGCATATTCAATTTGATGAAATTCCTATATTCTTTCAGTGTGTGTGAATGCTTGTATTGGGGTAAAGGGTGACAGGAGATGAGTTCTCTGGCTAGGATGTCTGCACTTGTTCAGTGCATGGGAGAAAATGGTTGGTAGGCAAGATGCTTGCAAAGGATTAATATGCTTCACTTTGAATGAGGTGTAACATACACAGATGGGAATTTATTAGAATATACAGTCATAGTCTAGGTAGTAGGTTGGTAGACAGCAACCTGCCAGGGAGGTACTACCATCCTGCCAAGTGAGTATAAAACAGAAACCTGTAATTGTTTTACATGATGGTAGGATTGCTGGTGTCTTTTTTTTTGTCTCATAAACATGCAAGATTTCAGGTACATCTTTCTACTTCTACTTACACTTCGGTCACACTACACATACATGTACAAGCATATATATACACACCCCTCTGGGTTTTCTTCTATTTTCTTTCTAGTTCTTGTTCTTGTTTATTTCCTCTTATCTCCATGGGGAAAGGAGAACAGAATTCTTCCTCCGTAAGCCATGCGTGTTGTAAGAGGCGACTGAAATGCCGGGAGCAAGAGGCTAATAACCCCTTCTCCTGTATATATTACTAAATTTGAAAGGAGAAACTTTTGTTTTTCCTTTTGGGCCACCCGCCTCGGTGGGATACGGCTTGTACGTTGAAAGAAAGAAGATACAATCAGAGTAACTTGTACAGTATACTGTACACTTTTGATTCTCTTGCAAAGTTCTTTTATACGATTCTCTCATATATTGAAGATTTTCTGAATCTTTCTTTCAACAAACCGACCGTATCCCACCGAGGCGGGGTGGCCCAAAAGGAAAAACAAAAGTTTCTCCTTTCACATTTAGTAATATATACAGGAGAAGGTGTTACTAGCCCCTTGCTCCTGGCATTTTAGTCGCCTCTTACAACACGCATGGCTTACGGAGGAAGAATTCTGTTCCACTTCCCCATGGAAATAAGAGGAAATAAAAAAGAAAAAGAACTAGAAAGATAATAGAAGAAAGCCCAGAGGGATGTGTGTATATATATATATGTTTGTACATGTATGTGTAGTGTGACCTAAGTGTAAGTAGAAGTAGCAAGACATATCTGAAATCTTGCATGTTTGAGACAGAAAAGAGACACGAGCAATCCTACCATCATGTAAAACAATTACAGGTTTCTGTTTTACATTCACTTGGCAGGACGGTAGTACCTCCCTGGGTAGTTGCTGTTTACCAACCTACTACCTAGGAAAATGCAATTACATGTTCATAAAATGCATGCTTCATCAGTTTTCTTCTAACGATGCTCATTATCTCTGTGTTGTACACACTGTAAAGACACTTCAGAAAATTTATATATTTATCAGGCATTGCGCTTGAGTAAGGCAGCCTTGGGAAAGACAACAATTGGCCAGATGGTCAATTTGTTGTCAAATGATGTTAACAGATTTGATACCAGCGTTATCTTCATGCACTACCTCTGGATTGGTCCCCTTCAGGTAAGTTCTTGACTCTGAAAATTAGAAGAGATTATTTTTACAAATTTGATGATTGATGGTCTGGTTTAAATTTTTACATGTGGCTATAAACCCTCAAATCTGCTCACCTTGTGACCAAAACTTTCTGATTTTTATGACTGTTTTTGAGAACCTTTGTATATAAAATAAAGTGCAATATCAGTCTACTTTTCTGAATAGTCAGTCATGTGATTGTGATTTCATGTTTCTTAAATGTTTATCTTTCATTAAAATGTTATTGTGTAAATTAAGAATATTTATGTATTACTGTATTTTCTTGTTATGCATATTTGTAATTCTTAAATCCCAGTTAACACAGTGACTCGTAACATTGCTGATATTGCTTTAGTACATGCAAGAGAATGAGTTTTGAGCAGTAAATATTGAATATGGAGTAGACACAACTTCATGTGGCACTTGATCATGCAGACAAATTTTGTACCCCAATGTCTTGAATGTCACTTGAAATACTTCCCTTTTGGGTCATATTTTGTATGTTCCTTTCTTAGACTACCGTTTTTGCCATCATTAATGGCAATGCCTGACTGGTGCCGGTTTTTGTGGAAATATTTTGCTGTGTGTTACATATAATTTGAATGTTTTAAAATATTTCCACTTTTAAATTTTGCTGAATTAAATGTCCTTCACTTGAGAGTTTGCAATACTGCCTCTGCTGCCACTATTGCTGCCACCTACTAACTACCTACTGCTATTTTCTCTTATAAGCAACATGAACAGTTTTCAGATGTTTATACTTTCATTTTTACAAATACACACTACATACAAAATAACTGAAGTATTTTTGTTATTGCAGACGTTGATAGTGTTGGGCATCCTTTGGACAGAGCTCGGGCCATCATGCCTGGCCGGGATTATGCTCCTCATACTCTTTGTACCGCTTCAGAGTAAGATAATATTAACATGTTTTGTAATACTTTCAAAAGATGAAGACAGTAGTATGGCTACAAATAGCTTAATATCAGCACTTGTTAAATTTTTATGTATTATAATTACATGAATTATTGGTGGACTGAAATGTATTTTTTTATTTATTAATAGGAAAGAGTAAAGTGATAAGGATAATGAAAAAGTTACGTAACGAAAGATTGGATATCAGGTTGGAGGGAGTGTGTGTGGAGGGGGTGAATGTATTCAGATATTTAGAAGTGGATGTGTCAGTAGATGGGTCTATGAAAGATGAGGTGAATCATAGAATTGATGAGGAGCAAAAGGTGAGTGGTGCACAGAGGAGTCTGTGGAGACAGAGAACTTTGTCCATAGAAGCAAAGAGGGAAATGTACGAGAGTATAGTTATACCAATGCTCTTACGTGTGTGAAGCATGGGTGGTGAATGTTGCAACAAGGAGAAGGCTGGAGGAAGTAGAGATGTCATGTCTGAGGGCAATGTGTGGTGTGAATTCATAGTTTGGAAATTAGGAGGGGGTGCAGGATTACCAAAACTATTATCCAAAGGACTGAGAAGGGGTTGTTGAGGTGGTTCGGACATGCAGAGAGCATGGAACAAAATAGAATGACTTCAGAGGTGTATAAATCTGTAGTGGAGGGAAGGCGGGGTAGGGGTCGGCCTAGAAAAAGTTGGAGGGAGGGGGTAAAGGAAGTTTTGTGTGAGAGGGGCTTGGACTTAAAGGAAGCATGCATGAGCATGTTAGATAGGAGCAAATGGAGAAAAATGGTTTTTTAGGATTTCACGTGTTGTTGGAGTGTGAGCAGGAACTCAAGTTTTGGCAGGCCAGACTTGAGTCCTGGAGATGGGAAGTACAGTGTCTGCACTTTGAAGGAGGGGTGTTAATGTTGCAGTTTTATAACTAGTGTAAGTGCGTATCTGGCAAGTCAGTGATTGAGTGAATGATGGTGAAAGTTTTTCTTTTTCGGGCCACCCTGCTTTGGTGGGAAACTACCGATGTATTAATAAATAAAATAAATATTCCAACATGTAGATAATTTTTTTGTGGTGGTTTAGTTGACACTCTGGGAGTTTGTGTGTATATATAATATAATTATATATATATATATATATATATTTTTTTTTTATTATCACACTGGTCGATTCCCCCCAAAGGGAGGGTGGCCCGAAAAAGAAAAACTTTTCACCATCATTCACTCCATCACTGTCTTGCCAGAAGGGTGCTTTACACTACAGTTTTTAAACTGCAACATTAACACCCCTCCTTCAGATGCAGCACGTACTTCCCATCTCCAGGACTCAAGTCCGCCTGCCGGTTTCCCTGAATCCCTTCATAAATGTTACTTTGCCAAAACTCCAACAGCACTCAAGAAATTAAAACCATTTGTCTCCATTCATTTCCTATCAAACACCCTAAACGCATACCTGCTGGAAGTCCAAGCCCTCGCACAAAAAACCCTCCTTTAAACCCCCTCCCCCAACCCTTCCTAGGCCACCCCTACCCCGCCTTCCTTCCCTACAGACTGATACACTCTTGAAGTCATTCTGTTTCGCTCCATTCTCTCTACATGTCCGAACCACCTCAAACAACCCTTCCTCAGCCCTCTGGACAACAGTTTTTGGGAATCCCGCACCTCCCCCAACTTCCAAAATACGAATTCTCTGCATTATAAATTCACACCACACATTGCCCTCAGACATGACATCTCCACTGCCTCCAGCCTTCTCCTCGCTGCAACATTCATCACCCACGCTTCACACCCATATAAGAGCGTTGGTAAAACTATACTCTCATACTTCCCCTCTTTGCCTCCAAGGGGCAAAGTTCTTTGTCTCCACAGATCCCAAGTGCACCACTCCTCTTTTTCCCTCATCAATTCTATGATTCACCTCATCTTTCAATAGACCCCTCCGCTGACACTTTCCCCCCCAAATATCTGAATACGTTTACCTCCTCCATACTCTCTCCTCCAATCGATATTCAATCTTTCATCACCTAATCTTTTTGTTATCCTCATAACCTTACTCTTTCCTGTATTCACCTTTAATTTTCTTCTTTTGCACACCCTACCAAATTCATCCACCAATCTCTGCAGCTTCTCTTCAGAATCTCCCAAGAGCACAGTGTCATCAGCAAAGAGCAGCTGTGACAACTCCCACTTTGTGTGTGATTCTTTATCTTTTAACTCCACGCCTCTTGCCAAGACCCTCGCATTTACTTCTCTTACAACCCCATCTATAAATATATTAAACAACCACGGTGACATCACACATCCTTGTCTAAGGCCTACTTTTACTGGGAAAAATTTCCCTCTTTCCTAAATAGCAGATACCTCGAACCCCTCCTTTAGAGTACAGGCATTGTACTTCCCACTTCCAGGACTCAAGTCCGGTTAACTGGAAGGAAGATTTATGTAGCTTAAAATTCCTTTACCTGTATAGATTACTAAAAATAAGAAATAGTTCTTCACTATTAATGTGATTCAGGTCTTACTGTAAATGATAAATTCTCCAGGTTGGATGGGCAAGGTGTTCTCCAAGCTGAGACTGGCCACTGCGCACCGCACAGATGAGCGTGTGCGTATTATGAGTGAGGTAGTCAATGCCATGAGAGTTATCAAGTTGTACACATGGGAGAAACCTTTTACAGCACTCATAGAGAAAGCAAGGAAGTAAGTAATATTTAAATAAAAAAATTGGAATTTTTAAATAGCCCATGTAAGTACAGTGGACCCCCGGTTAACGATATTTTTTCACTCCAGAAGTATGTTCAGGTGCCAGTACTGACCGAATTTGTTCCCATAAGGAATATTGTGAAGTACATTAGTCCATTTCAGACCCGCAAACATACACGTACAAACGCACTTACATAAATACACTTACATAATTGGTCGCATTCGGAGGTGATCGTTATGCGGGGGTCCACTGTACTTGATATAATCCTGTGACGATGATGCACCAGAGGGAGCATGTCACAGTACACCACAGTCAACAAAAGAAGCACTACTGTAAAAACATTAGAGATTGCTTGTGGCAGCATCACGATTCCTTAGAATAAACAACACTAGACATTGGATTTAAAAATAAACTAGTAATTGAGTGTGATGTAATACAGCCTCCCCTCACTTTGTGATGTACATACTCGTTTACTGACGCCTCAGACTTACGACGGGCTCTCTGACCAGTATTCGTACCTAAATAATGTATATTAGAGCTGCTTTTTCCTCTATTCTTTTTATTTCAGTATACAATACACTACTGTTTAAACATTTAAAAATATACCAGAAATGTTATAAATGGTGCAAAGGCGATATTAAAACAATATCGGAGATGGTTGACACAAACTCACTACCATTGTAGTATGCTCCTCACTTAGTGACGAATTTGTTTAACAAATCTCAGGAATAGAACTCAGTCGTTAAGTGAGGAGAGGCTGTAATTACTTTTTCAAAATAGTTGTGTCTGCTGTATTAAGCCGTTACAAAATCATCAGCTAATTGTGAGAAAAGCACTGACTAACCGTATTTCCTAGCTCTATGATTATTATGTTAATACTTTACCTTTTGTGATCTCTCAGATCTGAAATTGATGTGATCATGAAGACTAACTATTACCGGGCAGTTAACATGTCTCTATTCTTCACCTCATCAAAAGTGATAGTCTTCTTGGCTCTCCTCACATATGTCCTCACTGGCAATGTTCTCACAGCAGAAAAGGTAAAAGGAAGGTGTAACTTGAACCTCGTTTCTTTAATACATTTATTAAGTTTTGTGAAGAGTACTTTAGGTCTTAGTTCCCCATGAAATGAAAAATGTCTCTTACCTTTCAGTATATCAGACAATCCCTTCAACTGTATTACAGTATTTCTAATTACATACTTTCTGTAGTATTTCATATTTGAAAGCGGTATATATTTTTCCCTCTTCTCATGAAAGTGGAATTCTATTATCACTACAGTTGTCTGTAAACTCACTCCAGTATTTTGATTGAAGTAAATTAGGTTACTTTATATGTAGTGTGGATACAATATGTATTGAATGTATTAAAAAACATTTCAGTCAATAATATATCAGTTACCCGTCATGTTTCAGGTATTTGTCACTAGTTCACTCATCAATAATGTTCGACTTGTGATGACACTCTTCTTTCCCTTTGGTATTGCTATGGGCTCTGAAACACTGATATCTTGCAGGAGGTTACAGGTGTGTTGCTCATGTTTGTTGTTTTGTAGTGTTATAAAAATGAAAGAATGAGACACTCGTGCAGTCTTGAGATTGATGGACTGAACACATCGACTCCTGCCTGAGGGACTGATAACCTCAAATTCCTCCTTATCTTCCACTGTTATTCTCTGTATTGGACTGAAGTCACTGGCTGGTGAAACATTTCCTCAGTAGAGATTCCCAAATGTTACGCAAGTGTCCCATTCTTCAACTTCTCGGTTTATAAAACCATTTTTATCACAATAAAGGTGCTTTGTATTTTGCTTATTTTATGAGACTACACTATAATGTATATTTATGATAAAATATTACTAAGTTTAGGAGTTGGTTTATAAAATTGAATTTTACTATATATTAGACTACTCAGGAATGATTTATTATTATTATTTAAATGTTAATATTTTATATTGTAAAATTTGCTGGACATAATCTTGAATTATACAATTTCATAACCTAGAACTTCCTCGAGATGGAAGAGAGAGAAGACGAAAGTTCCATACAGAAAGAGCAATCTCAGGCCCAAACAAAAGGTAATATTAACGTATTATTTTTTGGGGGTTTATAATGTAGCATTGAATAACAATTCTAGGCAAAAAGAATGTTGTTAGAGACGAAGAAAAGTCTTTGGTGACTGGAAGGAAGCAATACATTTCTGGCAAAATGCCACAGCTATAAGAATTCACAACTGACCTACACAGTTTAGAAAGAAAATTTTTGTCATTTTGATCCATCCTGTACCATTATCAGTTTGACCTTATAACATTTCAGGATGGATCAAAATGTCTTAAGTTTCATCTGTATATTGAGAGTTAATAGTGACCTTCTCATTGTGAGAGGTAATGTTGAGGCAGAGTTAGGTTGTGGATGATGGCTGGACACACTCTTAGGTCAGCACATTGTTTCCTTATGCAAAGCATAACTGTAACATTGGAGGATATGTCAAGGTCAGAAAGAAGATATGAAAAGTTTTTTTTTTGCCTTATTGATGAAGATTGTGATTTAAAGAAAAAAATCACATTCTGGCAGGATTGTGGACTGACAGTAACAGATCTGACTGCAAAATGGAGTGAAGCAACAGAAGAGGACACATTAAGTGAGGTGTCTTGTTCAGTGAAGACTGGAGAGCTACTTGCTGTTATTGGTCCAGTTGGATCTGGGAAGGTAAGTCACCTATGACTTTCCTATAGTGAAGTATCATGGCTTGATTTGTATATTCTTTTTCAACACACCGGCCGTATCCCACCGAGGCGGGGTGGCCCAAAAGGAAAAACGAAAGCTTCTCGTTTTACATTTAGTAATATATGCAGGAGAATGGGTTACTAGCCCTTTGCTCCTGGCATTTTAGTCGCCTCTTACAACATGCATGGCTTATGGAGGAAGAATTCTGTTCCACTTCCCCATGGAGGTAAGAGGAAATAAACAAGAACAAGAACTAGTAAGAAAATAGAAGAAACCCAGTGGGGTGTGTATATATATGCTTGTACATTTATGTGTAGTGTGACCTAAGTGTAAGTAGAAGTAGCAAGACGTACCTGAAACCTTGCATGTTTGAGACAGAAAAATGGACACCAGCAATCCTACCATCGTGTAAAACAATTACAGGCTTTCGTTTTACACTCACTTGGCAGGACGGTAGTACCTCCCTGGATGGTTGCTGTCTACCAACCTACTACCTACTGATTTGTATATATAATTTTTTATTTAAGCTTAATATTTACAATGTATTGGAGCAAGGGGCTAGTAACCCCTTCTCCTATATAAATTACTAAATTTAAAAGTAGAATTTTCATTTTTCTTTGGTCACCTTGCCTCAGTGGCATATGGCTGAATAGTTGAAAAAAAATTTTTAGTGTACTGATGTGTTTTAATTCTAGCTGTTGTTTGTATTTTACTATTTTTAGGGATCACTTCTTCAAGCAATTCTTGGAGAGTTGCCTGCTAAATCTGGATCAATCTCTATCAGGGGAAAAGTGGCATATGCATCTCAAGAACCCTGGGTGTTTTGTGGAACTTTGCGGCAAAATATTCTCTTTGGGCAGCCTTATGATGTGAAGAGATATAATGAAGTCATTAAAGGTACGTTTGTCAGTCATGAACATCATATTTACCTTTTGGAAAAAAATCACATTGCACTTAACATACAGCATGTCTCACAAAATAGTAATAACATGATTACAAACAAAGCACGGAACGGGTGGGGTTTGAACCCATGGTGATGGAATCTTATCCAGCTGGCCCAGTGGCTTACACAATGGCCTAGAGCTTTGCAACTCACTCACCATGGGTTCAAACTTCACTTGTTCCATGGTTTATGTTGCTTACCTGGAGAAGGTTTCGGGGGTCAATGGCCCCCATGGCCCGGTCTGAGACCAGGCCTCATGGATCAGGGTCTGATCAACCAGGCTGTTACTGCTGACCGCACACAAGCTGACTTACGAACCACAGCCCAGTTGGTCTTTGGGAATCTGATGTATTTATTTTTAATCTTCTCTCTCCCCTCCCCATACACACACACACAATGATCCCTTTGTATTCAAGGAGATTGCAGTTCTAGAATGTGCTCCAAAAGCAAATGCAGTACTAGAAATGTGAATGTTGAACTGATTAAAAAAAAAGGTTGGAGGGAGGGAGGTAAAGGAGGTTTTGTGTGCTTTGGGCTTGGTTTTTCAGCAAGTGTGCTTGAGCGTGTTAGATAGGAGCGAGTGATGTGCTGTTAAAGTGTGAGCAAAGTAAAATTTATGAAGGAATTCAGGGAAATCAGTTAGCTGGACTTGAGTCCTAGTGGTGGGAAGCACAGTACCTGCACTCTGAAGGAGGGTTGAAGATACCTGGAGGGTGTTCTGTCACTTTCTTGCTTCTGGCAAGACAGTGATGGAGTGAATGGTGGTGTTTCCTCTTTTTCAGGTCACCCTGCCTTGGTGGGAAATGGCCAGTGAGCTAAAAAACAAAAATGTGTGTATATATATATATATATATATATATATACACACATACATACATACATACATACCTTTTATATGACAACATGCGTGTTGTAAAAGTCAACTAAAATGCCGGGAACAATGGGCTAGTAACCCCTTTTCCTGTAAAGATTACTAAAAAGAATAAGAAGAAAATTGTCAAAGTGGGAAGTCTGAATGTGCATGGATGTTGTGCAAATGATAAGAAAGAGATGATTGTGGATGTTATGAATGAGAAGAAGCTGGATGTTCTGGCTTTAAGTGAAACAAAGCTGAAGGGGGTGGGAGAGTTTCAATGGAGAGGAATAAATGGGATTAGGTCAGGGGTTTCAAATAGTTAGAGCTAAAGGAGTAGCAGCAATAATGTTGAAGGATAAGCTATGGCAGGAAAAGAGGGACTACAAATGTATTAATTCAAGGATTATGTGGAGTAAAATAAAGATTGGATGTGAAAAGTGGGTTATAGTAAGCATGTATGCACCTGGAGAAGAAAAGTGTAGAGGAGAGAGAGAGATTTTGGGAAATGTTGAGTGAATGTGTGGGGAGTTTTGAATCAAGTGTGAGAGTAATGGTGGTTGGGGATTTCAATGCTAAAGTGGGTAAAAATGTTGTGGAGGGAGTAGTAGGTAAATTTGGGGTGCCAGGGGTAAATGTAAATGGGGAGCCTTTAATTGAGCTATGTGTAGAAAGAGATTTGGTAATAAGTAATACATATTTTATGAAAGAGGATAAATAAATATACTAGGTATGATGTAGCACGTAATGAAAGTAGTTTGTTAAATTATGTATTGGTGGATAAAAGGTTGATGGGTAGGCTCCAGGATGTACATGTTTATAGAGGGGCAACTGATATATCGGATCATTATTTAGTTGTAGCTACAGTTAGAGTAAGAGGTAGATGGGAAAAGAGGAAGGTGGCAACAACAAGTAAGAGGGAGGTGAAAGTGTATAAACTAAGGGAGGAGGAAGTTCGGGTGAGATATAAGCGACTATTGGCAGAAAGGTGGGCTAGTGCAAAGATGAGTAGTGGGGGGGTTGAAGAGGGTTGGAATAGTTTTAAAAATGCAGTATTAGAATGTGGGGCAGAAGTTTGTGGTTATAGGAGGGTGGGGGCAGGAGGAAAGAGGAGTAATTGGTGGAATGATGAAGTAAAGGGTGTGATAAAAGAGAAAAAGGTAGCTTATGAGAGGTTTTTACAAAGCAGAAGTGTTATAAGAAGAGCAGAGTATATGGAGAGTAAAAGAAAGGTGAAGAGAGTGGTGAGAGTGCAAAAGGGGAGCAGATGATAGAGTGGGAGAGGCACTGTCAAGAAATTTTAATGAAAATAAGAAAAATTTTTGGAGCGAGTTAAACAAGTTAAGAAAGCCTAGGGAAAGTATGGATTTGTCAGTTAAAAACAGAGTAGGGGAGTTAGTAGATGGGGAAAGGGAGGTATTAGGTAGATGCCTCGAATATTTTGAGGAACTTTAAAATGTTGAGGAAGAAAGGGAGGCGGTAATTTCATGCACTGGCCAGGGAGGTATACCATCTTCTAGGAGTGAAGAAGAGCAGAATGTAAGTGTGGGGGAGGTACATGAGGCATTATGTAGAATGAAGGGGGTAAAGCAGCTGGAACTGATGGGATCATGACAGAAATGTTAAAAGCAGGGGGGGATACAGTGTTGGAGTGGTTGGTACTTTTGTTTAATAAATGTATGAAAGAGGGGAAGGTACCTAGGGATTGGCGGAGAGCATGTATAGTCCCTTTATTTAAAGGGAAAGGGGACAAAAGAGATTGTAAAAATTATAGAGGAATAAGTTTACTGAATATACCAGGAAAAGTATACGGTAGGGTTATAATTGAAAGAATTAGAGGTAAGACAGAATGTAGGATTGCGGATGAGCAGGGAGGTTTCAGAGTGGGTAGGGGATGTGTAGATCAAGTGTTTACATTGAAGCATATATGTGAACAGTATTTAGATAAAGGTAGGGAAGTTTTTATTGCATTTATGGATTTAGAAAAGGCATATGATAGTGGATAGAGGAGCAATGTGGCAGATGTTGCAAGTATGTGGAATAGGTGGTAGGTTACTAAATGCTGTTAAGAGTTTTTATGAGGATAGTGAGGCTCAGGTTAGGGTGTGTAGAAGAGAGGGAGAATACTTCCCGGTAAAAGTAGGTCTTAGACAGGGTTGTGTAATGTCACCATGGTTGTTTAATATATTTATAGATGGGGTTGTAAAAGAAGTAAATGCTAGGGTGTTCGGGAGAGGGGTGGGATTAAATTATGGGGAATCAAATTCAAAATGGGAATTGACAGTTACTTTTTGCTGATGATACTGTGCTTATGGGAGATTCTAAAGAAAAATTGCAAAGGTTAGCGGATGAGTTTGGGAATGTGTGTAAAGGTAGAAAGTTGAAAGTGAACATAGAAAAGAGTAAGGTAATGAGGGTATCAAATGATTTAGATAAAGAAAAATTGGATATCAAATTGGGGAGGAGGAATATGGAAGAAGTGAATGTTTTCAGATACTTGGGAGTTGACGTGTCAGCAGATGGATTTATGAAGGATGAGGTTAATCATAGAATTGATGAGGGAAATAAGGCGAGTGGTGCGTTGAGGTATATGTGGAGTCAAAACACGTTATCTATGGAGGCAAAGAAGGGAATGTATGAAAGTATAGTAGTACCAACACTCTTATATGGATGTGAAGCTTGGGTTGTAAATGCAGCAGCGAGGAGACGGGTGGAGGCAGTGGAGATGTCCTGTCTAAGGGCAATGTGTGGTGTAAATATTATGCAGAAAATTCGGAGTGTGCAAATTAGGAAAAGGTGTGGAGTTAATAAAAGCATTAGTCAGAGGGCAGAAGAGGGGTTGTTGAGGTGGTTTGGTCATTTAGAGAGAATGGATCAAAGTAGAATGACATGGAAAGCATATAAATCTATAGGGGAAGGAAGGAGGGGTAGGGGTCGTCCTCGAAAGGGTTGGAGAGAGGGGGCAAAGGAGGTTTTGTGGGCGAGGGGCTTGGACTTCCAGTAAGCGTGCGTGAGCGTGTTAGATAGGAGTGAATGGAGACGAATGGTACTTGGGACCTGACGATCTGTTGGAGTGTGAGCAGGGTAATATTTAGTGAAGGGATTCAGGGAAACCGGTTATTTTCATATAGTCGGACTTGAGTCCTGGAAATGGGAAGTACAATGCCTGCACTTTAAAGGAGTGGTTTGGGATATTGGCAGTTTGGAGGGATATGTTTATCTTTATACATATATGCTTCTAAACTGTTGTATTCTGAGCACCTCTGCAAAAACAGTGATAATGTGTGAGTGTGGTGAAAGTGTTGAATGAAGATGAAAGTATTTTCGTTTTGGGGATTTTCTTTCCCTCTTTTTTTTTTTTGGGTCACCCTGCCTCGGTGGGAGACGGCCGACTTGTTGGAAAAAAAAAAAGCAAAAAAAAAAACACTAGTGTTGGAGGAAAAGTGAAGAGGATAATTCTTCTGGGTCATTCTAGATGTGCATTCAAAAATGGAGACAGTGGTAGTAATTCCTAAGGTGGTAACTGTAGCATGGGAATATTATGCAGAGAATAAGGAATATAGAGATTATAATTATGGTGGTGTGAAATCAGAGAATGGAGAAAGGGTCGATTGGTTGCATTCTATGGTCATTTAGAAGAGATAGAGAAGAATAAGTTGACCAAGATGTATAAATTTACAAGTGTAAGGAAGGTGTAGGAACTGTTTCAGGAAAGTTGGCAGGAAAGGGGTGAAGGTTTTAAGTAGTTGGGACTCGAGCATGTAGCAGATGAGCAAATATGTTAGAGCTGTTGTTGTTGTTGTTGTTGTTGTTGTTGTTGTTGTTGTTGTTGTTTTGTTGTTGTTGTTTGTTGTTGTTGTTTGTTGTTGTTGTTTGTTGTTTTGTTGTTGTTTGTTGTTGTGTTGTTTTTGTTGTTGTTTGGTTGTTGTTGTGTTGTTGGTTGTTGTTGTTTGTGTTTGTTGTGTTGTTTGTTTGTGTTGTTGTTTGTTGTTGTTGTTTGGTTGTTGTTGTTGTTTGGTTGTTGTTGTTGTTTGGTTTGTTGTTGTTGTTTGGTTTGTTGTTGTTGTTTGGTTGTTGTTGTTGTTTTGGTTTGTTGTTGTTGTTTTGGTTGTTGTTGTTGTTTGGTTGTTGTTGTTGGTTTGGTTGTTGTTTGGTTGTTGTTGTTTGGTTGTTGTTGTTGTTTGGTTGTTGTTGTTGTTTGGTTTTGTTGTTGTTGTTTGGTTGTTGTTGTTTGTTGTTGTTTTGTTTGTTGTTGTTTGTTGTTGTTGGTTGTTTGTTGTTGTTGTTTGGTTGTTGGTTTGTTGTTTGTTGTTGTTGTTGTTTGTTGTTGTTGTTTTGTTGTTGTTGTTTGGTTGTTGTTGTTGTTGTTGTTGTTGTTTGTGTTGTTGTTTGGTTGTTGTTGTTGGTTGTTTTGTTGTTTGGTTGTTGTTGTTGGTTGTTTGGTTGTGTGTTGTTGTTTGGTTGTTGTTTTGTTGTTGTTGTTGTTTGTTGTTGTTGTTGTTTGTTGTTGTTGTTGTTTGTGTTGTTGTTGTTTGGTTGTGTTGTTGTTGTTGTTGTTGGTTTGTTGTTGTTGTTTGGTTGTTGTTGTTTTTGTTGTTTGTGTTGTTGTTGTTTGGTTGTTGTTGTTGTTTGGTTGTTGTTGTTGTTGTTTGGTTGTTGTTGTTGTTGTTTGGTTGTTGTTGTGTTGTGTTGTTTGGTTGTTGTTGTTTGGTTGTGTGTTTGGTTGTTGTTGTTGTTTGGTTGTTGTTGTGTTGGTTGTTTTGTTGTTGTTTGGTTGTTGTTGTTGTTGTTGTTGTTGTTTGGTAACTAGTTGTGAGGTGTTAGATGTGTAGATTGTTCTTTTTGGTATGTTTTGGTGATGTTTGGTTGGTTATTTGAATTGTTTGTTGGTTTGTTTATGTGTTGAAGGTGTGTGAATTGTTGTTCTTTTGGTGTCTTCTGTTTGGTTGAATGAATGGTAAAGAATGCTATGCATTGTTGTTTGTGTTTCTTGCTTTGTTGTTCATGGTTTGTTGTTGTTGACAAGTAAACATGATGTTAATGGGTCCAATTTGGTTCAGCCAGACTTGGTTCTGTCTAGTTGAAACAAAGTACAGAATTTTTTTTTCTCCTATGACTGATGATGTGGTAGTTCAGCTCATGTTTTTATACTTTTTGCCACTATTGCTCTATCATCTAATTGTGTTGCATGATATCAAGATTGATCCGGTGCAGTTTTTCTTCTTTGAAGTCACATGTCTTCCACTGGTGAAACCTGCTAATGTGGTAAAGAAAATTAATGCAGTTGTTTGTGCTTTCTCTGCTTTGACTTGTGCACTGGCTACCTTGCTGTAGATGAACCTATGAAACTGACTGCTTAATAGGGCACCACTATTGCTAACCATACAGGCAGTAACTTGGTTTCCTGTATCATAGATTTGAATACCAAGAGTTGACAATTTTTTTTTTCATGTGTACTATATTGTACATTTACCATGAAATTTTTATTACCATCTTCTGCCAGGGTGACCCAGAGAAGGAAACTCATTCTCTATCATTCTCTCAATTGCTGTCTTGCCAGTGTATTGACTTCACAGATCTGATGGCCCACCAGCTGCAGTATTCTCACTCCTCTTTCGAAGTGCAGGCACTGCTCTTCCCACCTCCAGGATTCAAAGCCAGCTAACTAGTTTCCCAGGAATCTGTCATAACTGTTATCTTGTTCTTCTCACTCCTACAGCACATTAAGCCACAAGTCACTTGTTTTCACTTGCTTACATGAGCTTGTTAGATGCTTAAGCTCCTGTCACTAAAACTTCCTTTACCACCTTCCCATATCCTGGGGCTATCCCTACTCACCCTTCTGTGCCCAGTTTATACACTCTCTAGGTCATCTTATTTTCTTCCATCCTCTTTAATTACTCAAACCACTTCAGCAATCCTACCTCATCCCTCAGGTTATACCTTTGGTAACCCCACACCCTCTAATTTCTGTGCTTTGAATTCTGTACTTATTTGCATAACATGAGCATGTGTAATAAGAAATCTGTAATATCAGTGGATGAGAGACTGTGGCAAAAATACCCTAGGATTAGTCATGCTGCAGTTTAAGCGTGTACATGGGAAACAAAGCAATTACAAATTTTAAATAAAGAATAAGGTTAAAATTATTTTTCTCTTGTGTTGTAGTTTGTGCATTGGAGCAGGACCTAGAGCAACTGCCGCAAGGAGACCAGACAATGGTTGGTGAACGTGGGGTTTCTCTAAGTGGTGGCCAGAAAGCCAGAGTCAACCTTGCAAGGTAAACTATTATATTTTCATTCTTTCTATGCAAATTGGTCAATATTTTAAACCTTACATTTAGCCTATGGAGCATAAGGTACATAAAAATTAGTAATAAATTGAGGCCAAAGTTTGAGGCCCTTTAATGCTTGTAAGCTTAGAAGTTAAATTGTGGTTACTGAGTGTTAAAATGTTGCTTGATTTTTATACAGGAGGAATTTTATGATTCCTCCCAATTTGTTGTATCCTTACCTACAGGGCTGTTTATTATGATGCAGACATATACCTGCTCGATGATCCACTCAGTGCAGTAGACAGCCATGTTGGCCGACATTTGTTTGACAACTGTATCATGAGGCACCTCAAACACAAGGCCAGAGTGCTTGTAACTCATCAGTTACAGTACCTGCAGCCAGCATCACAAATTCTTATATTAAGAGAGGTATGTCCACATCTGTAAGAATGTCATTCTTGTCATTTATTCTCTGTACAAGTTTTTTGTAAAAATATTTGTTAGCCACCCTTTTTTTTATCAACACTGTACAGGTTTATTTCCAAGTGATAACACTTAGAAAAAATACTGAGTAATAAGCATGCATGTAAAAGGTCTGAAAGATCAGTAGCTGTCAAGTGAGTTCCTTAGGCGGCATGTATTTTAAATGACCTTAGGAATTTCAGTTGGTAGGTTTTAAGTATTCAGGTGTTATCAATCCATAGGGTCACACTGAAGCCATTGGAGGCTATCATCAGTTGGTCAATAGTGGCATCGACTTTGCATCTTTACTCTCTGATGGTGACGATGAGAAAGTGGGGTCACTATCACGAGAACCCAGCATGAGAAGCACTAAGAAGAATGGTGTCATCCCAAATGGAAGACATGTTCAGGATGGAGGTAAATGCAAGAATTTTTATTTTAGTATTGGGTTGAAGTATGGCATTTTTTCAGTATGTATATAAAAACTGATTTTCTACACAATTTTCTACACAGTAATTTCTGATAAACTTTACCTTCAATCTCAGTCGTACTGAAATTTAGCTATTCTGTATGGGAGTATTTATAGAAGATGTGCTCAAAACAATAATCATTGGTAGTCAATTTTTTTGGGGGGGAACTAATAGATCTCTGCAGCATTAGCAATTGTTGTAGAACTTGAATTATCTACTATTCCAGTTGGATCCTCAAGGTCATTGCAAAGGAAGGGGCGTCTGAATTCAGAGTCAAGTGTGTCTTCCTTTCACGATTCTGTTGAGGTTGAGAATATCTTGACCATCTCTGGGGCCAATATTGCTGGCTCATCTCTCTCCCTCAGTGACAGCATCAAAGAGTCTCCTAACAAGAATTCTAAAAAGGTAAGGTAGAATAATAAAAATACTGTACAAATACACCCCTCAAGGTAGGTTCCTGGATGCTGGTGAGGGGCTCTTGATCTAGGGAATTGGATCTGTGCTCCAGTTCCCTGAATTGAGCCTGAATACCTTCCATCCCCCCCCTCCCCACATGTGCTGTATAATCCTATGGGTTTAGTGCTCCCCCATAATTATAATAATGTACAAATACAAATTTGTATTTTTATTGTGGTACAAAATGTAGTTTACACGTGATAAAACATTCCATACCACGGGCGGGGTTAGAACCCACGATCAGTCATAAACAGTGTTAAGCACAAAAGAAAGCCACTGGTATATGGTGCACTTGAGGCAAACTAATCCAAATGCTTAAAGCCTATTTAAGGTTTAGACATAACTATTAAGTGAGGTTTCTTGTACAGTTAACTACAATCATATGTACGGTAAGAAAGGTAGTTAATGAACAAATGGTACTATGAAATTTTTTTTTTCCAGATTTTATAATACTTGGGAGAAAGGGACCAATAACCCCTTCTGTATAAATTACTAAATTTGAAAAGAAGAAATTTTCTTTTTGTTGGGTTGCCTTGATTTGCTGGTATATGGCCAGTTTGTTGAAATTGAATTTTTTTATTAGTATTCTAATTTATTATAAAGTGCAAGCTTTGTCTCAGGTGAGTACAAATAGGTGAGTACATGCATTTATCACAACACTGCTGCAGGTGAGTACACATATTTATCACAACATTACTACAGGAAGAAATGGTGCACATCCAAGAAGTCCACCTTACCTCAAAAAAAAATCATTTTTATTTATTTTACTTTTAATGTATTTAAAGTAAAATTTATATGAAGTAGCACATTTCTCTCCTGTGACAAGTAAATAGTTCATTACCAATAACTTGTTTAGCTATCAGAACTTTGCGGCACAGTCCCTGGACTCGTAATATGCTCACGGGATGGGTATGGGATGCATAATTAAGATGTTAGGTAAAATGACACAAGTGCAACTAATGTGACATTTTATTGTGGCAACATTTTGCTCTCCAGGAGCTTTATCAAGCTCTTGAAGAGCAAACCACAATAAAATGTCACATTAGTTGCACTTGTCATTTTACCCAACACGTTGTTGGTAATTCTACCAACATTAATAGTACTTGATTAAAGATATTTACCTCCATCCTTCTCTGTTGTGGAAAAATGCCTAAGGAAGACCTGCACAGTATGATGTAATTCCTTTAGTGCCACTAGTGGAACACATTCTTAATCGATTTAAAAGGGGAGTTAACTACATGCATAAGCATTTGAAAGTAGAACTTTCACATATTGACTACACCATAATTCGATGGGAGGAAGATATGCTTGTCAGTAGTCATGGCACCCTGGGAATACCCATGGGCCTTAAAAAATAAAAGGTGTTTGTCATTAAATGCCTTGCTTCTTCTTTGATCTGTTTTTGCTATGCCACATTATGACATCACTAATTTTTGTCATTGGTACAGATTTTCCAATAAAATGTAATCCATAATTTTGGCAAGCCACTGCATTCTTTTACGTTAATGTTATCTCTTGTTGATTTTGAAATTTATATATTATATAGTTGTCATATTCTTAAATGTCCAATATAAAGCATGTTCTGTGCCATTCTAACATTGTCAACATCTTCATCGTGGTTCCATAGCACCTCCGCAGTGACAAAAGGCTGGACAACAGAACTGAAGAGGAGAAATCACAATTACTGGTTTATAAGATTTTTCACATGTTTGCTTTTTTGGCATACTGTACTGCATATTTGTCTATGCTCTTGCAGTGTTTTCTAAAATCAATTGTGTGCTCTCGTTTACTTGTGTTATCTTGAAAAAAAATTCTACCTTTTCAATACTTGGAATGCTGTTTACAGTAGAGCCTCAATATTCATGGTTACATTACTCGAGACACACGGAATACCAGTTCCACAAAATAAGCAACTGCATTGTTGAATCAGCAGAATGCTAAAGCATGTTTGCCCTTATTTTAAGCATTCACAAGAAATAGGGGAAACATGATATGCACCTATACAATACTGTATTAACAGCAGTATATGTGAAATATAGTAAAGTTTTCCTTCATATGTTTAAATTTTAACAGCCTCACAACCTCACTGGGAACATAGACTGTGAATACATAGTCAAGAATGAAGCTTATTCATAGCACCATCCGCAAGAAAATGCACAATTAAATTAGGCATATTCCAGTGTCATGAATATTGAAGTTGTACTGTATTTCATTTAGAGAGTTCAGTAATAATGTTCATATAGTGTTGTGTGTTGTAGTTAGCATAAATTTTGAGTGTCGATTTTTGTTTGATGCATAAATTTATATATGTATTCCAATAGCTTTCAGTGTTTAAGTTTTTGTCTTTTGTCTTTTTGATTAGTGTAATACTAATTGTAAGTTTTTAGGGTCACATGACCTTGGTGGGAGATAGCCTGTATTAACAACAGTGTTGCCATTTTAAGATGAAGATTCCACTTAATTGTAAATATTTTCCTTCCCCACTTCATGGGAAAGTGGAATTCTTCTCCAGTAAGTTGTTCATGTTGTAAGAGGCGACTAAAATGCCAGGAGCAAGGGACTAGTAACCCCTTCTGTATAAACTACTAAATTTGAACCCATAAACGGTCCAAACGTATATATACGTTTTTTCAACATTTGAAAGTATCTAAAAAAAGTAGATCTTTGTCTTTTTTACATTTCAAAATGTGTAAAAAAAACTTTGATCTACTTTTTTTTTTTTTTTTTTTTTTTTTTTTACATTTGAAAATATGTAAAAAAAACGTAGATCTACTTTTGTAGCACTACACATGTGAACGTAGATCTGCTTGGACCATTTACGGGTTAAAAAAAAAGCTTTGTTTTTCTTTTTCGGTGACCCTGCCTCGGTGGGATATGGCCAATGTGTTAAAAAAAAAAATCCTTCCCCAAAATTTCTATAAATTTTTTTCATAACTGTTAATTTATTTTTCTGGTATACAGCATTTGACAGTTTCAAATATAAAAACTTATTTGATACTTATTGAGATTGACGGAAAATACAACTAGATTCCCACATACATTACCCATCAACCAGTGAAATTTGACACTATTACTATTATTATTATTTTTTTTTTTTTTTTTTTTTTAAGACCACAGTTTGAATTATATCTAGTTCTAGTTGTATGTTTCGTATAGGTAATTTATCCCTGTATATATTTTGACATACTCTACATGGTGAAAATTACAGTAGGACCCGTGGGTTTGGTTTCCTCAGTTTCAGTTATCCACTGTTTACCGTGGCCCAAAAAATATCCCTTAATTATGCTTAATAATGGCCCCAAAGCACAAAAGTAGTGATGCTGGTAGTTTTCAAAGCCTAAGAGAAGTCGTGAAGGGCTTCCCATCAGTGAATAAAGTGCTAATTCTCGACTTATGTGCATAATATATCGATTAACCTTTATCATAGTATGCTTGTAAACGAAAAACAACTTGTATAAATAGGGTTCACTAATATCCGCAGTTTCAGGTACCTGCTGTAGGTCTTGGAATTTATCCCCCATAGATACAAAGGGGACTATACTAAATGTTGCAGTCGCTTAGTATTTTTGATTTTGAGGTGTTTGTGTACTCCTGGAAAGACAACTACTGAACAGCATTGTTGACTTTGAATTACCTTACCTTAATTAATGGGAAATAGCTGGGGTGTTTAATTTTCATTTTCCGGACAATAATGCATAAATTGATGCTGTCTGTAATAAAGTTAAATCTATAATATATGTACTGTATTATATAATTCAATTTTATTAATTCTCTATCCTTCTTAAATAACCAGACCATCTTAACACCCCTTCATCTGCTTCCTATATTATTTATTCCCCTATCACCCCACAAATGTCTATAATTTCTTAATGGTGTGGTGGAAGGAAGTGTGTAAATATTTATGCATTGCACCTATTTTCCTGCCAATATTAATTGCATGGCTTATCTGTTTTGTCTTGTTCTTCACCTATCTTGGTTGCAACTTCAAGTGCAGTTATGTTATTGTGCTTGAATTTGGTTTCGTATTTCATGTGATGTACAGTAAACTCTGTAAAATCTGGTACAGGACTCAGGACTTGCTGGTTTCAATAAAAAAAAAATTTGTAAATATGATATATTGAGTATAGAGCCTAAGCTTTATCAGTTTTGTCACCCTTGCTTAATGTCCTTTATTAGCTTAACAATTAACACAGTTTATATTTGCAAGAACAGTACATACAGTAAAGGTATACATGTGATGGGGTTTAGCATCTACTATTGATTTATTTGTACTTAGAAAAGCTCAGTTATGAACAGCATTTTAGGTAAAATGGAGCTAATGTGAACTACTGGACTTGTTAAGGTATTACAGGGCCAGAGTTGTAGCTCATAGGAAGGTGGGAGCTAATACATTGGGAAGTCTTCAAAAAACTTAGGAATTATCAATGGTTAAACTATATTAAAAACCTTAATACCTATGTAAGAAGACTGATAACATTGTGTAGGGCTTAGTTCGTGAACTTAATTTGAAATGAGCGAATGAGTAATATGCATGAGCAGAACGTGATATAAATACTTTTTTAATATCAATTCTTATCCTGTATATTTTGTTTGTCAAAAACATGATGCTTAGGTTGAATTCATTATTCATAATAGAGTACTTATATGTACACCTGGATATCTGTATAGAAACAGAGGGAGATGACCACTGAGAGAGAGTGGGGAGTGAGTGTGGAGTGGGGGGGAGGAGGGAGAGAGGTAGGGGGGAGAGAGAGGGGGAGAGTGAGAGAGGGAGGGAGAGAGTGAGAGAGGGAGGGAGAGAGTGAGAGAGGGAGGGAGAGAGTGAGAGAGAGAGGGGAAGAGGTGAGAGAGAGAGGGGGTGAGAGAGGGAGTGAGAGAGAGGAGGGGGAGAGTGAGAGAGAGAGGGGAGGTGAGAGAGAGAGGGGAGAGAGTGAGAGAGAGGGGGGAGAGTGAGAGAGAGAGGGGAGAGGAGTGGGAGAGAGAGGGGGAGAGTGAGTGGGAAGAGAGAGGGGGAGAAATGAGTGAGAGAGAGAGGGGGGGAGTGAGTGAGAGAGAGAGGGGGAGAGTGAGTGAGAGAGAGAGAGAGAGAGAGAGGGGGAGAGTGAGTGAGAGAGAGAGGGGGAGAGTGAGTGAGAGAGAAGGGGGAGGAGTGAGTGAGAGAGAGAGGGGGAGAGTGAGTGAGAGAGAGAGGGGGAGAGTGAGTGGGGAGAGGGGGAGAGTGAGTGAGTGAGAGAGAGGGGGAGAGTGAGTGAGAGAGAGAGGGGGAGAGTGAGTGAGTGAGAGAGGGGGAGAGTGAGTGAGAGAGGGAGAGTGAGAGAGAGAGAGGGGGGTAGAGTGAGAGAGAGAGAGGGGGTAGAGTGGAGAGAGAGGGGGGGGGTAGAGTGAGAGAGAGAGGGGGGTAGAGTGAGGAGAGAGGGGGGGAGAGTGAGAGAGAGGGGAGAGTGAGAGAGAGGGGAGAGTGAAGAGAGGGGGAGAGAGAGGGGGAGAGTGAGAGAGAGGGGGAGAGAGAGAGGGGGGGAGAGGAGAGAGGGGGGGAGAGAGAGAGGGGGGAGAGTGAGAGAGGGGGAGAGAGAGAGGGAGAGTGAGAGAGAGAGAGAGAGGGGGAGAGTGAGAGAGAGAGAGAGGGGGAGAGTGAGAGAGAGAGAGAGGGGGAGAGTAAAGAGAGAGAGAGAGAGAGGGGGAGAGAGGGGAGAGGGGGAGGGGGGGAGAGTGAGAGAGAGGGGGAGGGGAGAGAGAGAGAGAGAGAGAGGAGGGGGGGAGAGAGAGAGAGGGGGAGAGTGAGAGAGGGGGAGAGTGAGAGAGGGGAGTGGGAGAGAGAGAGAGGGGAGAGAGTGAGAGAGAGAGAGAGGGGGAGAGAGTGAGAGAGAGGGGGGAGAGTGAGAGAGGGGGGAGAGTGAGGGAGAGGGGGAGTGAGAGAGGGGGAGTGAGAGGAGAGAGAGAGGGAGTGAGAGAGAGGGGGGGGAGAGAGAGAGAGAGAGAGAGAGGGGGGGAGAGAGAGAGGGGGGGAGGGATCACATCTCTCGGATATCAGATTAATAGTTTTTTTTTGTCTAAACTGTCTTGTCTGAACACCTCTGCAAAGACAGTAATTATGAGTGGTGGTGAAAGTGTTGAATGATGATGAGAGTTTCTTTCTTTTTGGGTCACCCTGCCTTGGTGGGAAATGGCCAACATGTTAAAAAAAAAAAAAAAAAAAATTAGTGTACTTTGATATGGTGCATGACTATACTTATAGTACATTCAGGCAGCATTCTGACTCCTTATTTGAAGGTACAGGAAATTATAGTTGTGCAATTTCAGCATTGTCACTTGGCATGTTCCATTTTTCAGGATCTTTAATTTGCAAGGAATTTCTAATTGAGTTAAGCTGTAGATTTAGGATACCAGAGTGATTTTTTCCTGTATTTATGCATGTGTGTGTCATTATACTTCTCAAGGAAGAACTTTATCTCTGGGTCAGTATTTGTATTTAGTGTCTTGTAGATGTATTTAGAGCAACTAATTTCAGATCATTGTTTAGTAGTATGTACTTAGAGGAATGGGAGTCAAAGATTGTCAGTGAGTAAAACTGAATGAAATAAATGGCATGGTTAGTGTTTCAAGAGTATGTTTTTCCCATTTTAAAAGCAAAATTGTTTAAAAAGTTTGTATTACAGAGTTTATTGCACTAAGTCACTGTAGTCATGCCTTTTTTTTTTTTTCTTAAGAGCAGGAAAGACGAATTTTGTTAGTCTTTCCTGAGAGCTGCCCTCACATAATTTAGAAACTGTAATGATTTTGGAAGCAATTCAAATGACTGAATTTTTTAAGTACGTATTAAAGATAAATTGCTTTACCTCAGTGTGCCTTCCTCTGCAGTCTAGTATTTCAAAAGTTTTCTAGATAGTATTTTAAGTAATTTTGGAATTTGAGATTAGTGACAAAAACACAAATAAGCATTTCTTGTAAAACTGAAATACAGTATATAGTCAACATATAGTTCAATAACAGTATTGCATATTTGTTTGCTCTAGCATCAGCAGTTATGCTTAGAGTATTTTCACTTTTTCAGTTGAACGACACTGATGATGGTGAACCAGAAGATAGTACTCGTTCGGAAACAAGAGCTGAAGGTTCTGTCAGAGGTGCCGTTTACCTTGAATATTTTCTGGCTGGTGGTGGCTGGATCCTCTTAATTATTCTCTTTATAGCAAATGTACTGACACAAGTTATCTTTTCTGGAACTGATTACTGGCTGTCTTACTGGTAAGTATATGACCCTTGTGGGTTTAGCACTTAGTTTTGATTATAATAAGTGTAAGTGGATGTCAGCAATCTATTTTTAGTTTGGCTGTTTTCCAGCTAGGCAGGGTGGCCCAAAGAAGAGAACATTCTGCATCTTTCCCTAGATGCTGCAAAGTAGGCCCGAAGGCAAAATGGACACTTTAAGACAGTGTTTCATTTGGGAATATGTAGACAGTGAGAACCATAGGAGAGGTGCAGGTGGCATGAGCATGTGAATAACTATAAAGATCAAATCAGAGTGTTTGCTTAGCAAGAGGGATTTGGCAAGGCAGGGTAAAAAACTCCTTTATCTAAGATTAAGGAAATGCTGATATTCTCTGGATTGACTGTCTTTCCAGTGGTTGTTGGAACACAGAGCTTGTTTGATTAACCCTCAGAAGAACAGTGGTGAAAATATTGTGATAGATTATAGATTACAGCTGTATTCCTATCCTCAAGTCTACTCACTAATTCCTTAGTTGTGTAGGTGTTCTTGGGAGAACGAGGCTGGCTTGAGGTCCTGACCACTGAAAATATCTAGGGAAGTATGTAATGGTGTGTGATGTAGAATGAAAAAAAATCCATGATCTATCCTTGTCTTTCCAATAGTTGTGTATATGGTTGGATGTAAACCTTTGAACATTGTCAGTGGTAACTATTGCAAATGTGTTAAGCTATGTTCCTGTCTGTGATACCATGGAGATTGCTTCAAAATATCCTATAATGGTATGCCAAAGAGTCTGTATTGGAGGGTATTGGCCTAAAATTGAATGTCATTATTGGGAAAAATTCTGACTTTGTGCTATCCCTAATATCCTAACTGTGTGAAAGGTGTCACCAGTTTCTTAAACAAAGTTTTGGTGCACTAAAAGGTAGGGTTGGCATGAATAGAAGGGAAGATGGAAATATCAGAGTTGGGGTAGATCTGAAAAGTTGTCTCTCAGATGCAGTAAAGAAAAATTTATTTATTTATTATCACACCGGCCGATTCCCACCAAGGCAGGGTGGCCCGAAAAAGAAAAACTTTCACCATCATTCACTCCATCACTGTCTTGCCAGAAGGGTGCTTTACACTACAGTTTTTAAACTGCAACATTAACACCCCTCCTTCAGAGTGCAGGCACTGTACTTCCCATCTCCAGGACTCAAGTCCGGCCTGCCGGTTTCCCTGAATCCCTTCATAAATGTTACTTTGCTCACACTCCAACAGCACGTCAAGTATTAAAAACCATTTGTCTCCATTCATTCCTATCAAACACGCTCACGCATGCCTGCTGGAAGTCCAAGCCCCTCGCACACAAAACCTCCTTTACCCCCTCCCTCCAACCCTTCCTAGGCCGACCCCTACCCCGCCTTCCTTCCACTACAGACTGATACACTCTTGAAGTCATTCTGTTTCGCTCCATTCTCTCTACATGTCCGAACCACCTCAACAACCCTTCCTCAGCCCTCTGGACAACAGTTTTGGTAATCCCGCACCTCCTCCTAACTTCCAAACTACGAATTCTCTGCATTATATTCACACCACACATTGCCCTCAGACATGACATCTCCACTGCCTCCAGCCTTCTCCTCGCTGCAACATTCATCACCCACGCTTCACACCCATATAAGAGCGTTGGTAAAACTATACTCTCATACATTCCCCTCTTTGCCTCCAAGGACAAAGTTCTTTGTCTCCACAGACTCCTAAGTGCACCACTCACTCTTTTTCCCTCATCAATTCTATGATTCACCTCATCTTTCATAGACCCATCCGCTGACACGTCCACTCCCAAATATCTGAATACGTTCACCTCCTCCATACTCTCTCCCTCCAATCTGATATTCAATCTTTCATCACCTAATCTTTTTGTTATCCTCATAACCTTACTCTTTCCTGTATTCACCTTTAATTTTCTTCTTTTGCACACCCTACCAAATTCATCCACCAATCTCTGCAACTTCTCTTCAGAATCTCCCAAGAGCACAGTGTCATCAGCAAAGAGCAGCTGTGACAACTCCCACTTTGTGTGTGATTCTTTATCTTTTAACTCCACGCCTCTTGCCAAGACCCTCGCATTTACTTCTCTTACAACCCCATCTATAAATATATTAAACAACCACGGTGACATTACACATCCTTGTCTAAGGCCTACTTTTACTGGGAAATAATTTCCCTCTTTCCTACATACTCTAACTTGAGCCTCACTATCCTCGTAAAAACTCTTCACTGCTTTCAGTAACCTACCTCCTACACCATACACTTGCAACATCTGCCACATTGCCCCCCTATCCACCCTGTCATACGCCTTTTCCAAATCCATAAATGCCACAAAGACCTCTTTAGCCTTATCTAAATACTGTTCACTTATATGTTTCACTGTAAACACCTGGTCCACACACCCCCTACCTTTCCTAAAGCCTCCTTGTTCATCTGGCTATCCTATTCTCCGTCTTACTCTTATTCTTTCAATTATAACTCTACCATACACTTTACCAGGTACACTCAACAGACTTATCCCCCTATAATTTTTGCACTCTCTTTTATCCCCTTTGCCTTTATACAAAGGAACTATGCATGCTCTCTGCCAATCCCTAGGTACCTTACCCTCTTCCATACATTTATTAAATAATTGCACCAACCACTCCAAAACTATATCCCCACCTGCTTTTAACATTTCTATCTTTATCCCATCAATCCCGGCTGCCTTACCCCCTTTCATTTTACCTACTGCCTCACGAACTTCCCCCACACTCACAACTGGCTCTTCCTCACTCCTACAAGATGTTATTCCTCCTTGCCCTATACACGAAATCACAGCTTCCCTATCTTCATCAACATTTAACAATTCCTCAAAATATTCCTTCCATCTTCCCAATACCTCTAACTCTCCATTTAATAACTCTCCTCTCCTATTTTTAACTGACAAATCCATTTGTTCTCTAGGCTTCCTTAACTTGTTAATCTCACTCCAAAACTTTTTCTTATTTTCAACAAAATTTGTTGATAACATCTCACCCACTCTCTCATTTGCTCTCTTTTTTACATTGCTTCACCACTCTCTTAACTTCTCTCTTTTTCTCCATATACTCTTCCCTCCTTGCATCACTTCTACTTTGTAAAAACTTCTCATATGCTAACTTTTTCTCCCTTACTACTCTCTTTACATCATCATTCCACCAATCGCTCCTCTTCCCTCCTGCACCCACTTTCCTGTAACCACAAACTTCTGCTGAACACTCTAACACTACATTTTTAAACCTACCCCATACCTCTTCGACCCCATTGCCTATGCTCTCATTAGCCCATCTATCCTCCAATAGCTGTTTATATCTTACCCTAACTGCCTCCTCTTTTAGTTTATAAACCTTCACCTCTCTCTTCCCTGATGCTTCTATTCTCCTTGTATCCCATCTACCTTTTACTCTCAGTGTAGCTACAACTAGAAAGTGATCTGATATATCTGTGGCCCCTCTATAAACATGTACATCCTGAAGTCTACTCAACAGTCTTTTATCTACCAATACATAATCCAACAAACTACTGTCATTTCGCCCTACATCATATCGTGTATACTTATTTATCCTCTTTTTCTTAAAATATGTATTACCTATAACTAAACCCCTTTCTATACAAAGTTCAATCAAAGGGCTCCCATTATCATTTACACCTGGCACCCCAAACTTACCTACCACACCCTCTCTAAAAGTTTCTCCTACTTTAGCATTCAAGTCCCCTACCACAATTACTCTCTCACTTGGTTCAAAGGCTCCTATACATTCACTTAACATCTCCCAAAATCTCTCTCTCTCCTCTGCATTCCTCTCTTCTCCAGGTGCATACACGCTTATTATGACCCACTTCTCGCATCCAACCTTTACTTTAATCCAAGAAAAAATATGCCTATTATAAAACATTAGTATACCTATTATAAAACAAAGTATCTATGGTCTACAGTGTCTGACAAGCTGGGTGTAAGAGGTATAAAGTCCTCTGATCTGATCTTTTAAGAGTTTGACTCATTCTCTGGGAGAGAGCGGTTGTGGCTGCATCTTGTCTGGTGACTTGCCAGCCGCCAGTCAGCATCAAGAATGCAAGATGCAGATAGCTTGCCAGCCGGATGACTGAGTGTTCTCCTGTTTTTTGTGTTGCTGTTTCCCTCTGCTTCCAAGGCTTAGCTGTTGGGTCTAGTCCTGACTCTTATCTCTTTGACTCAAGACATTCCTCACCGTCTATTCTTCGCACTGTCCCCACTTGCCCCTCGCCCCTTGTGGGTCCTTACCTGTGAGTCCTCTGATCTGATCTGAGGTATAAAATACTATTTTGTCAGTATTTCATACCTAAATGCATTGCCTTGATGCTAGTGAAGGGCTCCTGATTCATGAAACTGGAATTACCCTACCTTTCCTCTGTTCAGTCTTGATAACCTCCCATTTTTCAGGTGTGGTATGAAATGATAAATGGATATGTAGGGTACAGGTAAGCAAATATTTAGTACAGTATTAGAATGGGCTTATTACTTACTGTTAAGCAGGTTAAATGTAATAGGTGCAGTAATGTTCGACTCTACTTTTCCAGGGCTAATGGAGAACAACAGCGTGCTCGACTTTTACTGAATTCACAGGACAATTTTTCAGTTATAAGTGGAAATGGCTCGAGCTTCTCATACAGTGATGCTCCCATACCTGATGGCTATTTGGACACTTACACAAATGTTTACATTTATACTGGTAAGCAGAAGTCGAAGATATTACCAGCCACAACAAAATTTAATAGATGCAGATGCAGCCTAATGCTTGGTAGGATGGGTAGACACAGTAATTCATGATTGCCTTCACTCCAATATTTCTTAGCCACTTCAATTTTATTTTTTTATTTAAAACCTTGTTCTTAAACTGTGATGGATATTGCTTAGTAGCAGTTTATTAAATTGGTTTGTTTGCTTGACAATGTAAGAGCATGGAAGTGGAGTACAGTACTTTATATAAACCATAATCAAATTAGACCTACGAGTAATAGGAGAAATGTTATTTGTTTTATATTTGGTGTTATATCTGTTTTTGAGATGCTACCAAGATTGGAACAGTTGAGATGATGATGGGCATGACATAAACTGTCTTTTGATAACTGCCCAAAATGCCCTGGCATGATAGTGGCTTTCTTTGTACCAATCAAATTATGAAATGTAAGCACACATTGTAACCTTTGCAAAGAAATGAACTTTTGTTGTTGAGAACTCCCCCCCCCCCCCCCTCTTTTTCTCTTTTTCTTTCTTTCTTTCTCTCTCTTTCTTTCTTTCTTTCTTTCTCTCTTTCTTTCTCTCTTTCTTTCTCTCTTTCTTTCTCTCTCTCTTTCTTTCTCTCTTTCTCTTTCTTTCTCTTTCTTTCTCTTTCTTTCTTTTTTTCTTTCTTTCTTTCTTTCTTTCTTTCTCTTTCTCTTTCTTTCTTTAAATAACAAAAAGGCACAATACCGTGACTGGAACGATACACAAATAACCCGCACATAAAAGACAGAAGCTTACGACGACGTTTCGGTCCGACTTGGACCATTGACAAAGTCACACAGTGTGACTTTGTCAATGGTCCAAGTCGGACCGAAACGTCGTCGTAAGCTTCTGTCTTTTATGTGCGGGTTATTTGTGTATCTTTCTTTCTTTCTTTCTCTTTCTTTTTCTTTCTTTCTTTCTTTCTTTCTTTCTTACACAGGGTTTGAACAAGGTTAAGGATTCCTAACTTTATTGGCAAGCTAAGAGCTGTTACCTACATCAGCTCATTTGAAAGCATTTTTATTATGAGACATACAAGTAGGGAGCAGGATGAAGTTGGAGCCATCTATGGGCCAGCATTTTCATTTGATCAACTGACTTTATCTCGTTGGCATCATTATGCTGTACGAATGTGTTCCATACTCGAGTCATCCTGGGTATGTATGATATCAGATGGAGTGATGTTCTGGAGAAGGGTACATCCAGAGTGAAGTTGCTGCTTTCTGCCCGTCTTGTGGCATAAAAGCTTGTTTCACGCTGTCCTCGAAGTGAATCCAAGTGTGGTATTTTGACAATATTGGCCTTGTACATAACAGTAAGGCCACCCATATCCCTCCTATGTTGAAGGCTCTGCTGAAATGACAGATCTATCCAGGATGGGTCCAGGCGAGAGATGAGACGTCTTGCTCTGTTCTCTACTCTATCAAACAGTCGCAGATGAGAGGGAGGGCAGGCAAACCAAGAAAGTGGAGCATACTCAAGGTGTGAGCGTACTTGTGCCTCGTACAGGATCTTGCAACCCCTACTGTCAAGCAGATGAGAGATACGGCGAGGTGCTGTAAGCTTCCTGGCTGCCTTGTTTGCAAGATTTACAACATGGCTCTTCATGGTTAGTTTGGAGTCAAATTTCACCCCAAGGATATCAACTTCTTCTCCAGGTGCCAACACCCTCCCATTCATCCTTACTACTGCACCAGCATTACCATCATGGTGCCTAGAGACGATCATCATTTGCGTTTTCTCAGGTGCAAATGTTACTTGCCATCTATTTCCCCAAGCTGATATAGCTCTCAGCTGGTGATTGATGTAGCTTAGAGCAGCTGGCATTTCTCCTCTTGGATAAGTGAATGTCAGTGTACAGTCGTCTGCATATGCATGTGATTCTGGGATGAGATGAAGGTCGTTGAAGTAGACATTCCATAACAATGGACCCAGCACGCTTCCTTGTGGAACACTTGCCCCAATAGGATGTCTTGCTGATTCCGTTCCATTGAGAACTACACTTAGAGATCTACCATGAAGGTAATCACTGAGGAGACATAGCGTAGAGCCTGCAATTCCCAGTGCTTGAAGTTTTGCTAAGAGGCCCTGGTGCCACACCCGGTCAAAAGCGCCAGCAATGTCCAGTGCTACCACACAGCTGACTTTAGATTCATCCAGTGACTGGTGCCACTTAGTGGAGAGGTTTAACAACAGATCAGCAGCAGAGTAACCTTGCCTGAAGCCATATTGACGATCACAAAGATTATTGTCTCAAGGATCTTACCAGTGATTGACAGGAGTGACACTGGTCTGTAGTTGCTGATTTCTGCTCTGCTCTTCTTTTTGTGAACAGGGACTACATTTGCCTCTTTCCATAGAGAGGGCCATTTACACTGTACCAGGCAGTGCTGAAAGATGTGAGTTAGAGGTGCTGCTAGCTGGTCTGAACATCTTCTCAACAATCTTGGGCTCAACTTGTCTGGGCCCACAGCCTTTTCTTGGTCAAGCGATTTAAGAAGGAAATTCACCTCCTCCTGCCTTATTGTCACCACTGACAGTTTTGACAGTTCTTGCAGCTAGCCAAGGAGAGTCCCTTGCTGGATCAGGAACTTGCATTTTGGTAGCAAAGTGTTCAGCAAAGAGTTCCGCCTTCTCTTGACTACTAGTAGAGGTGGTCCCATCCTGTCGATTTAGAGGTGGAATGAGTTCATCAGGCAGATAACCTTGTCTGTCCTTGACCAGGGACCACCAGGTTTTGGAGCCTACCCTACCTGATGCTAGCTTTCTTTTAGTGTCCACCTCCCATTTAGCAGTGGCCCACTTTTGAACGTCACCCATGTGCCTACAGGCTTGCGTGTGCAAGTTCCTGTTATAGGTGGTAGGATCTTCTTATACCTTCGCCATGCTTTATACTTAGCAGTAGCAGCCTCTCTACAATGAAAGCCAAACCAAGGCTGATCTGTAGGCTTCGTCACATATTGCCGGTGAGGAATGTGTTCTTGTTGTAGATTAAGGATGTGTCCAGTGAAGGCTTTCACTTGGTTGTCAACATCCCCTTGGAGAAGAGCATTCCAATCGGTGGTGGCGAGCTCAGAGCAAAGGGCTGGCCAATTACCTCTTTCCCATAGCCAGGTTGTGCGTGTGGACTCCTCACCTCGTTCTGTTGGGATCTTAAGTGTCGTAAAAACAGCCTTGTGGTCAGACGATCCAACGTAGCCGAGGGGTTGACAAGTGACTATGCCTTCTGCCAGATCACTCGCTACTGGGTCAAGGGAGGAGCCAGAGATATGAGTAGGGAAATCAACAAAGTTTCTTATGTCAAACACTGCAAGAAGGTCATCAAAGTCCCTCTGTATAAGGTGCTGGTTGAGGTCACCAACAATTATAATATGTTGACAGTTGTGTTGTAGCAGAAGGGAGTCAATATTTTCCATTAGGAAGTTGATGGGGTCTGCATGTTGCCACTGAGGTCTGTACATTGCACATGCTAGTACAGAGGTACTAGTGTTTATACAGAGCTTGAAGAACATCATTTCAAGATGTGTAGGGGTGGCAACATCAATGTGCTGGGCATGAACACTTTTAGAGAAGCACATAGCAACACCTCCTCCTTTCTCTCTTTCTCTTTCTCTCTCTCTTTCTCTTTTTTTTCTTTTTCTCTTTTTCTCTTTCTCTCATTTTCTCTCTTTTTCTCTTTCTTTCTCTTTCTCTCATTTTCTCTCTTTTTCTCTCTCTCTTTCTCTTTCTCTCTCTTTCTCTTTCTCTCTCTTTCTCTTTCTCTCTCTTTCTCTTTCTCTCTCTTTCTCTTTCTTTCTCTCTCTCTTTCTCTTTCTTTCTCTCTCTCTTTCTCTGTCTTTCTCTTCTCTCTCTCTCCCCCCCCCCCCCCGAAAGAAGGAAGCAAGGTCTTGTTAATTAATGTGTTCGGCTTTACAAATTATCAAGACTCAGAATGTAATAGAACTTTTTCTCGTACAGGCTTGACTGTTGGACTCTTTGTGCTGTCACTAGGCCGAACAGTTCTTTTCTTTGTGATGTGCATGACTTCATCGAGAAAACTGCACAATCGCATGTTCGAGTGTATCATTCGTGTTCCTATCAAGTTTTTCGACACTCATCCTATTGGTATGTAAACTTTGATTTTTTTTTTTTTTTAAGATAAAAAGTGTTTTGATTGTTTTAATCTGTATTTCTTAACAGCTCTAGCAACAAGTAGAAAGTCACTGAGTAATTTTGTGTTCTTGAGTTTCTCCTTTAATGTGTTGAACTATCTTAGGTGATAATCAGTGTCAGGATTTTAATGTCCTACCAAAAATCCAGAATTTAAGGCAAGGTGAGAGGAACCAGAAAATTGCTCAAAAGTATAATACTGTGAATAATTTTTATTTGGTACATAATTTTATTTAAAAAATATGTGATTTATAAAGCAAAATTTGCTACAGTATATAATATTGAATTACTGTCCTTAGGACAGATATTTAACCGCTTCTCAAAGGATATTGGACAAATTGATGACTTTCTTCCTGGTACTTTGTGGGATGTCGTTGAAGTAAGGATAAGCATGATTCCAAATTTTGCATGACTTGAGAATGATTTTTTTTTCTTTATCTTCTGAAATTCAGAGGTAAAGATTGTGCACTGTTTCACCTCACCTGTAATATATTCTGTAACACACCACTGTGTGCTTTCACTGTGAAGGATGAGTAAGAATGTTGCAGTTTAAAGGGCTGTTAGGATTGTGATGTGTGCATACTGCTAGCTAGACAGCTATTAAATGAATGATGGTAAACATGTTTCCTTCTTTGGGTTACCCTACTTAGGCGGCAGATTTGTTAAAAAGAAAGATTTGAAAACTGTGATTTCAAATGATAGTTGGAGTGGCACTCAAATTTATTGCATCTCTTCCTGGCCTCAAGAACGCAACACAAAATGAAAAGATAAACCTTCCTTAGTTTTTATAATGACAGTGTGATGTAATAAATTTTTTGCAACTGCACTGGTTGCATAATGATGCTCGTTATCAAACTTGTTACACCAAAGCTAGTTAAAGTAGAATTGTTTTTATTATGACTTAATACATTAAGTTTATGCAAAGAAGAGTATCCATGGTTCAGTCACCGGCATGGGTGGAAATATTGGGCATGTTTCCTTAGTAAAATGATAGGATGGATAATGAGAACCTTCAAAACTAGGGATGCCAAGCCCATGATGAGAGCACACAAAGAACTTTCACGGCACACATAAGTACAATAAGGCACCTAAATTACTGGGAACGGTTGAAGGTCCTTGATCTGTATTCCCTGGAATGCAGGCGAGAGAGATGTACGATAATATTCACTTGGAAGGTCCTGGAGGGATTGGTACCAAAACTGCACACAAAAATCACTCCCTATGAAAGCAAAAGACTTGGCAGGAGATGCCACATTCCCTCACTGAAAAGCAGAGGTGCCACGAGTACACTGAGAGACAACAAAATAAGTGTCCGGGGCCCAAGACTGTTCAATTTCCTCCCAGCATACATAAGGGGGGATTACCAATAGACCCCTGGCTGTCTTTTAGAAGGCACTGGACAGGTACCTGAAGTCAGTACCTGAACAACCTGGCTGTGGTTCATACATCAGTTTGCATGCCACCAGCAGTAACAGCCTGGTTGATCAGACCCTGATCCACCACGAGGCCTGGTCTCAGACCGAGCCGCGGTGGCGTTGACCCCCAAAACCCTCTCCAGGTACCTGCTACCCCTGTTCACATAGCAATATGTAGGTACTGTACCTGGGTGTTAGCATACTGCTCTGCATAACCGTGGGCCTTGAACGTGCACCGAAGTGTCACCATTCGTGTATCTAATTTTTTTTTTTTTTTTTTTTGTCTTGAATACTATGGTTTGACAGTGACTGTAATGTTGTCAAGTTAATTTAGTTCTCATGATTTTGCTTTTATTTAAGATTCTTCCTCCTTTTCTCATTTACTTACCCATCCTCCATACATTCCCTATTTACATTCTTTAATTTCAGGATTTCTAAATTCGGAATATCCAAAGTATAAATTTTGCTCATCATACATATACAGTTACTGATACTTGATATGAAGCTGATGAATTATTTAGGTAACCATTTTTTGAGTAATGCATTCGGTGTACAATGCTGAATTGTACATATTCTTCAGTAATTTTTCACATGTCATTCCATTCAGTTCTGAATTATTTAAGGCAAGATTCAATAGCTTTCCGCATTTTTACAGGACAGATACTAAACAGGTTCTCGAAAGACATGGGGCAAATTGATGATATGCTGCCTGGAACCGTATTTGATTTCTGCTCCGTAAGAATATTTAACTTTTTTTTTTTGTTGTTGTTGCTTGATGAAGGTGTTGGGCACTACGGTATGATGCTTTGGTGACCGGACCATTGATGAAGGGGCTTTTGTGGTGACTTGGTCATTTCTTTGGTGTCTGCTTCCATTTTAAGTGATTAAAAAAGTTACTTAAATAGTGACTTAGGAAAATATATACATGTACTGGTAGCAATGCTAAGGCTTTTTGCAATGCAGTAAAAAGTCATCCTTAGTGGGAAAATAGCAGATCTGGTAAAAAAAAAAACAAGTTTGGATAAAGGCCATTTTATATTAACCACATAGTTATGTGGAAAATTAATATTTAACTGTTGTACTGTAACGACAAAATACATTAAAGTAATTATCCCTTCTACAATTACAGAATTTTAATAATGACTCATGAAATCATAACAACATGATTACAAACAAGTTATGGTACAGGTGGAGTTGGAACCCATAGTGAATCGTAAAACTCCAGCCCAGTGCCAGTTGGCCCAGCAGCTTGTGCAATGGCCTGGAGTTTTCCCACTCTCTCGCCATGGTTCAAACCCCATCCATGCCATGGTTAGAATTTATTATGTATCTTTGTGAGCTTTCCACTGTGACCCCCAGAAGATTTGGAGTGCCTAATATAGTCAAAATCCCACTTTAAAAATTCATGATAAAATATCATGTGGAATATGATTATCAGACTGCTGCTTGGATGATGTATATAAGTGTCATTATGGTGAAGGTATAGAGATTCCTTCCAGAGGTGGTGGGGCAGTATTCTGATGGCTTCATCCTTCCTTTGATTTTCAGCTCTTTATATTTTTAAAGCTCACCCACACTTCAAAGGTCACATTCATCTTTCACAAGTTAAATTCACCTTTTAGTGTGTAAACCAATTGTAGTATCTTCAAAATTAATTGTGTGGTATCTCTTCTGCCATAATTCTGTTGACACTTAAAATGTGCTAGATGGAAGTGACAAGTATTTTATAAGTATTTGTTGGGATGATGATGTTGATGAGGTCCTGTCTTCTCAGGTCAAATCTTTAACAGATTCACAAAGGACCTTGGACAGATAGATGAAATGCTGCCTATTACAGTCTTTGATGTCGTCATTGTGAGTATTACATGGATTGTACATGATTCCTCTCCATAACCTTGAACAGAATGCCTTTGCTTCAACTCTGTACTAGACACCAGAAGTGCATAGGCTATTTGAATTAATTTAATACAGAATTTATCATGCAGATTATATTAATGTGTGGTAGGTAGGAATTGTGAGATCTTCAATATCATGGAAATATACAAGTGTGTTAGATCACAGTGGATCAGAGTAATCTTTGGAATTTTAATTGCTGTATGTGTGAGCAAAGTAGGTACATGTATGTATGGACTCTGAAACAAACTAGACTTGAGTTTTGGTAGTCAGAAGTGTGTGTCTTCACTCCAAAAGTTGGGTTGGGATATGGCTATTTTTTCCATAATGTTTAAAACTTTTCTTTGTTGTTGTCATAAGGAAGATAATTTTTTTTTTAACAAGTCAGCCGTTTCCCCACCGAGGTAGGGTGACCCAAAAAGAAAGAAAGAAAAACTTTCATTTAATACTTTCACCATCACGTATACATGATCATTGTCTTTGTAGAGGTGCTCAGATTTGACAGTTTAGATGTACTTCCAAACTGCCAATATCCCAAACCCTTCCTTTAAAGTGCAGGCATTGTACTTCCCACTTCCAGAACTCAAGTCCAGCTAACCGGTTTCCCTGAAGAGGATTATACAGTAAAATTCATGAAAGTTTGTAAAAAGTATTCTCTCAAACTACACGTGATATGAGACGACAATGAAAGTGATTTGAGTGATACTGAACCCTTTACCACTGGAAAGTATGGAACTGATCTTTAGTTGAATGATAGGGAAAGGTTCTGCACATATGAATCCCTCAGATCATAAATATAACAGTCTGATAGATGTTTTGATATTGATGTGACACAACAAAGTTTGTAGATACAGCAGCAGTAATAGACCACTACAGGTCAACAACTTGGTCTCTGTACTTACATGATCAGTAAGATTTAAAGTTTTTGAAGAAACTTTATCTGTTGGAAAGCATAATTCTGATTTTTTTTTTCTAATCTTTTTTATTCATAAAGGCTTAGTGTGTGAGCATTTGTGAATTTGTTGAGTAACAAAAATAACAAAATCCCAAATTATTATTAATGATTAAGCTATTTTATTCTTAATGTTTTGATCAGAAATGCATATAAATATTGCAGATGCTAAATGTTAAGAGATGTTGGAGTCTCCATGTGTTAGTTTTGTAATATTTGAATGTGCTTGGACATTGTGTGCACGTTATTATAGTGGCTTTGTATAGATGTTATAAAAATGTAAGATTAAACACTGGACAGAATCAAGAGTTCTGCTCAATATTTACTGCAAGTGTAGTGCTTGTTAGAATTGGAGGGCTTGTTGCAGTAAATGTTTGCTTGAGTGCAGTTGTAATATAAGAAAGAAGGAACACTGCAACAGGCCTACTGACCCATGCAGAGCAGGTCCATCCCCCCCTCCCCCCCCCAGATTAGACCAATGACCCACCCAGTCTGATCATCTCCACTCAAGGATAGAGCACTGCACCAGACCCAGCAGCACAAGCTAGTCAGGTCCAACTCACACCCACCCACACCCACCCATGTATTTATCTAACCTATTTTTAAAACTTCACAACGTTTTAGCCTGAATAACTGTACTTGGGAGTTTGTTCCACTCATCCACAACTCTATTACCAAACCAGTGCTTTCCTATATCCTTTCTGAGTCTGAATTTTTCCAACTTGAAACCATTGCTGCGAGTCCTGTCTTGGCTGGAAATTTTCAGCACGCTATTTGCATCCCCTTTTCCATTTATACACCTCGATCATATTTTTTTTTATTTTTTTATTATCACACCGGCCGATTCCCACCAAGGCAGGGTGGCCCGAAAAAGAAAAACTTTCACCATCATTCACTCCATCACTGTCTTGCCAGAAGGGTGCTTTACACTACAGTTTTTAAACTGCAACATTAACACCCCTCCTTCAGAGTGCAGGCACTGTACTTCCCATCTCCAGGACTCAAGTCCGGCCTGCCGGTTTCCCTGAATCCCTTCATAAATGTTACTTTGCTCACACTCCAACAGCACGTCAAGTATTAAAAACCATTTGTCTCCATTCACTCTTATCAAACACGCTC